ATCATGCTAAGAAGCAATCCACATATTAAACACAAGCATAATTTCAGGAATTATCAGATTAAACCATTGCAGTAACATGCCTGAATCACTGGATCCCGAACTGGAGAAGCACTAGTGGACTTCCTCTCAACAACCTAGAAATACATTAGCATGGTGAATCTAATTTAATATCAAAATCTGAATTCAAAAGGTAATATCATCTTATAAACATCAAACCAAAAAATATATATCCGTTGTGAACAAGATATCAATCAAATTAAAGTCACCAAATTCAGACAGACATCCTGCATCTAGGATTCCAATGTGTATGACTTAGGACAGTGCTCAAAACCATATAATGAACATGAACCAATATCACATGACAGAATAAAAGCATTTACACAATTGTGAGTACCTGACAAAAAAAGGCTTATAAAAGATGGAACAATTATTGCCGATTGATCAACGATTAAAAAAGATAATAAAAAAAAAAAAAAAAAAAAAAAAAAAAAAAAAAAGAGGAAACACTCCACTCAATCAATAATGGCGTAGTACTATGCATAATTTACAAATAGAATAAATGACAGCACCAATAGCATACTGGCTACAACCAACAGTATATTGGGCAACATAAATAGACAACCAAAAATTGGAGAAATTGCTGCAAGACGGAAAATTACAGTCAAATGTAAATAGATGAAAGAATACCGGCTGGCCTCTTAAGACGCTCTCATTATTATGCCCGACTGTACCCGTATTCTCTCGGCACACAGAAGCCACGACTTCACCAAAATCATTTAAGGCAGCATCTAAGGATATCACTGCTTGAGTTAAATAAGATCGAATCTTCTCCGCTGAGTTCTGAATAACTCTCTCTGCCAATTTCTTTGAAATCGGCATAGCAGCCTGTCAAGGTATTTTTTATCAGCAGCAAATAGAGCAGAAGAGATACATAGTTTCTAAAGAACGTCTAAGAAATTGACCTCATTATTCCTTTTCAAGGTAGCCAAAATTGGATTGAGTAGATCTGGGGAAACATCTTCACTTTCTTCTAACACAAGAGTCATAATTGTCTCCATGGATGTAAAAATTCCTTCGGCATGATAATCTCTGGAAGCGGCGAAATAGCAAGACATAAAGCACTTGAATTGAATAAAGTCCCCATCTTATGCAGAAATCACAAAAAAAACTAGGAGTCCTGAATTTTTAGCTATTATTTTCAAAGTAAGGTCAATGCAATTACGATCAAGTTAATGATTCACAGCCATCATGAAACCATTAATATATGACGCTTTAAGACATCTGATGATTGCACTATATGAATCAAATATCGGGTAGGCATGAGAGGCCTACTCACAACCTCCCCTAGAGGAAAAGCAAAGAATCAAAGCAACAAAAACGAATGGAGGTAAATGAAGACAGATAACACCAGCCTTTTCTTATGTTTAGATAGCAAGGAAAAACTAAGGTTTGATAGAGCAATAATGAACAAAGTGAATAAGAAAAATCTAATTGAAAATATATTGCATCCAGATGGTAACAGTTGAGCAGCATATCGCAATATTTTACCTAATAGCGTTAAGAAAGTGTTGGAACATCTCAATAATCATCTGATCACATTCTAAATCCAACATGATGACACAGGACCTGACTTTGGCCACAGTTTCAAGTATAGTGGCCCTTTTTTCATGGGATCTGCTGGACACGTCCGACAAGTTCTCAAAGGATGATACAATCAATTGAAAGACATCCTGAAATAATACAAAAAGTCATAAATGCTACAAGCTGGAGAAAGATATGGGGTGGGTGGGAGATAGTTGAAGATGTTACCTTCATTTTGTCATCATCGTATGGAGCGTCCGGTGCAGTAATTCTTGTTATCTCACTGATACAAGAAGCTACGCCTACTTTTACGTCAACATCAGAATGCTTCACTAGCTCTTCCGCGACCAGCCCCTTCATTAGTGGAGAAATGGCATCTTGCATGGACTTGGCAGGTGACTGCTCCACTTTTGATAGAAGTTCCTCAATTTGCTTAAAGCAGATTAAAATGCACAGAGATTAGAGGAAACCAAGCACCAAGCAAGAACTAGCACAATCTACAAAAAGTTCATCAATACTCCTGTTTTTCCTCTTCGTGATGGTAACAAGGAAATAAGCAAATGTATATATGCATACCTATTGCATGCACGTATTGATTACCGATAAATTTGAAATCTCCAACCAGTTTATAAAGTTGATGGAAAGATCAAAATTCTGTTTAACACAACATTGGAAAATATACTCTAAGGCTCTTGTTCTTTCAGAGCTGAATGAAGAAGTTTAAACAAAAGATTAGAATTTAGAACAGTAATGATGAAAGAATCTTCCGTCTTCTTTTTCTTTTATTCCAGTTATGGATGGAAGCAATAATTTAGAATTTCATAAATTTTCCATTTCTCTTCAACTGTTAATAGAGTAGGGAGGACTTGTGACTGCAAAAGATGAAAAAAACTACAGCCAACAACTTAATGCCCAAGCATGAGCCGTGAATATTTCTAGAACAACAGAAAGTTACATACATAATCTTTGAGCTTTCTCACTTATGATGTTACCGTGACAGCACTTCGAAATATAGTTTTTTCGCACATCAAATTATCAAACAGAAGTTACATCAAAGCAAGTTAAACATAGTGGAACCTGAATCAAGTTGGTCCCAAATAGTGCCCAACATGTGTAAGAATACATCTCATCTAACTCGTAATGAACTCAATAAATGCAACGCTTAATATGCAGAAATCCCGGATCATTCAACGGTTGTAAGGCGTTGATGGGCCCTGAATTACCTTCATAAGTTTCACAAGAAGCGAAAACGTTGCCACTTTCAACAGTTAACAAATCAAAACATATAGAAAAGAAACAATAATTTCCAAACAGACGCAACTGAGAGACGAAGCAATGATGACCATAATGATTATTAATTAATAACTCCCCAGAAAATCGAACGCAAACATAAATATAAGAAAATTTAATGAAAAAACGCAATTAAAGAATTTATTAAAAAAAATAAAGGTGTAGGCTTACATCGAGAAGAGGCAGGAGGTCATCGGGCGAAGTGGAAGGCTGGAGAAGACTGCTCCCAGCAGCAGAAAGGCGTTCTTCGAGTTCTTCAATGGAAAGTGATGGCATCGTCCTTGTTTTCTCACTCTTGTATCAGATCTTTCTACAAACAAAAGAAAAAAAAAATAAACAAGAGAAAATATCAACTCAACTCAGCAGCATCGTCGTCCAATATATCAGCGGCGAAACCCTAGGCTGAGGTAGACGTATGGGAAGCTTTATTCGGTAAATTAGTAGTTAATTACTCGTTTGGGAATTGCAATTGTTAGTTTCTGGAGAGAAGCTCAATGAAAACCCTAGAAATTACCTAACAGGATCTAGTGGGGGTGTTGGACCGGAGGGGGTGAGAAAGGTGAAGAGAGACAGAAATATACCACATTTAATAAGAAATGGCAACGATAATGAGAATACCGAATGATTTCCCTTTGATATCACAACAATATTTTCTTCCTCTCCTTTTGGCTTTTTTTTTGTCTTTTCTTTTTTTATTTTGTATATATATATTTATATATGTGGTGGCAGAAATTAGATGTGGGATTTTCGAAAGAAAGAAGAAGAAATTAGATCCGGTTGGCAACACTTTTTGTTTATTTACATTCTCCGATATGCTTTAGACACTCCAATCTTGATGTGAGTTGATTTAGCCACAAATATCCAATTTTGGTGAAATTATGAAAAATAACTAACAAATAGAGCTGCTTGCAAAACTTAATAATAGTATTTAGTATTTATACATAAGTTAGCATGTGATGATTTATTACTTGAATATTGATTGATTATCAAACTTAGTTTGCGTCTCTTATTTAATTTATCTAATAAACTCTTGGTGGTTAACTTGAAAACATTGGAGGGGGGTAATGTAGGAATCGAACTGCAGGGTCAATAGTCATTTTCGTTCACATTTTATTAGTATAGATCATCAGTAGTAAGTATATAATGCCGTACGTATGGATCATAATAAATACCATATGAAAGAGTTACCAATTCCGGCAAGCATAATATCGATATCTCCAAGCAAGTACATTTTGAAGGTGAGATTGTTGTACAGTGAGAGTTTTGTTAGAAGTGGCAATCCCCTGAAACAAGCATTAGTCGAGTTTCACTCTTCCATTTTTGTTATGCACAATCTATTTTGACTAGAGATTTCTTTAGCATCTTCTCGTATCTTGTCAAGCACTATTGAATCTTCTTCCTTAATATCTCCTCTCAAGATTCCCATTGCAATCTCATTCTCAACCATCTGCTGTATCACCCTCTTCACAGGTCTTGCTCCAAAGTTTGGGTCAAACCCTAATGCTGCAAGCACTTCAACAGCTTCCTCTCTGTATTCCAAGTTGATGTTCTTCTGTTTCAATCTCTCTTTTACGCGATTTAGCTGCATACATACATAACTTAGATTTCAGATCATCAATACTAAAGTTTTCAAAAAGAATTTAACATCAGTCATTACCAAGCTCTTTTTTTTTTACCTGAAATTCAACTATTTTACTGATTTGTTTGGAGTCTAGAGGCTGGAAAACAATGTATTCGTCAATCCTATTCATGAACTCGGGTCGGAAAGTTTGTCTTGCTAACTCAACCACCTGCCGTTTCATCACATCATAAACAGCATCCTTATTATCATGCTTACTTCTAAGGGTTTCAAGGATATAATGAGATCCGATGTTTGATGTCATAATAAGAACACAGTTAGTGAAACTGACTGTCCGTCCTTGAGAATCAGTTACTCTCCCATCATCCAAAAGCTGTAAAAGGATGTTAAAAACATCATGATGTGCTTTCTCAATTTCATCAAATAAAACAACAGAATACGGCCGTCGACGGACTACTTCTGTCAGTTGCCCACCCTCTTCATATCCAACATATCCAGGTGGTGCTCCGACTAATCGTGAAACTGCATGCTTTTCCATGTATTCACTCATATCGATTCTCACAAGTGCATTTTCAGTGTTGAAAAGATACATAGCGAGAGCTTTTGCAAGCTCAGTTTTACCAACACCAGTCGGCCCCATGAACATGAAGCTTGCAATAGGCCTGTTCGGATCGGAAAGTCCTGCCCTTGAACGACGTATTGCATCAGCTACAGATTTGACTGCCATGTCTTGACCAACAATCCTCTTGTGGAGGACCTGCTCTAATAAGACGAGCTTTTCCATCTCAGTCTGCTGGAGATTAGATACTGGTATGCCAGTCCATATGCTTACAATTTCAGCTATATCAAGATCTGTAACTTCCTCTCGCAGTAGTGACTTTCCAGATCCCCGATATTCTGAAAGGTTCTTCTCAGATTCTTCAAGCTGGCGCTGGAGAGACATCAATGTCCCATATTTGAGTTCAGCAGCACGATTGAGGTCATACTCACGCTCAGCAGCTTCCATCTCTAGATTGACTCTATCAATCTACTCAAGGATTTAATTATGCAAGTATAAAAAAATTTGGAATTAGCTATGCCTGTCATTGTCATAAAAATATGAAGTTAGGCCATTACCTCTTCTTTGATTGACCTCACTCGGTTCATCAGAATTTTCTCATTGTCCCATTGCTCATTTAACTTCCTTTGCTTTTGTTTAAGAGCTCCTAAATCATGTTCCAGTTTGCTCAACCGCTCTTTTGAAGACGTGGTCGTGTCATTTTTCAGAGATAGCTTCTCCATCTCCAACTTAAGCACTGCTCTGTCAATCTCATCCAACTCAGTAGGCTTGGATGTGATCTCCATTTTTAGTTTTGCAGCAGCTTCATCAACAAGATCAATGGCTGGCATATAGCACAAATGAGCATATAATTGAAATTTTAACAAGTCGACATCTAGATATGAGAAAACTGTTTGTTGCAAAAATAATACATAGAAAATACTATTATTATTCATATCTACATATGAATTTGTATTGATTATAGGTGGGATTCGTGGGAAGAATCTTTTTTTTTTCCTGTTAATGATATTTATAGGTCCAATGCCTACCAATCAAGAATACCCAATCCCATGATGCAACTGATGGTGAGGATTAGTCTTCCAAACCAGAACACCTGATAACTAAATTACAAAACACAAATTTGGCAATGCCAATCCCTTAACCGATCAACAACTGCATACAAATTGCCAAAAAGAAAAAAAAAAGAAGACCTTTTAACTATAACATGTTATTAATCTTTCATATATTAATTTGGTCATACTCGTGACGTTTTTTAAAGCGCTATGTATATATATTTCATCTTTACATGATAATATTTTTCATACAAAAAATTAAGAAACACGTAGTTATCAAGAAATGCCGTTCAAACTAAATAAATGATAATAGAAAGAAGATAATACTACAGAAATATAGTTCCTACCAAAATGATGATCCTGGATATAAAAACCATACTGTTACCTTTGTCCGGTAGAAAACGCTCTGTTATGTATCTATCTGAAAGAATTGCTGCTGAAACCAGAGCATTGTCTGATATCTTCACCCCATGATGCAGTTCATAACGTTCACGCAATCCCCGCAAAATGGAAATTGTGTCTTCTACAGATGGCTGTCCACAAAATACCTGTTGAAATCTACGTTCCAAAGCAGGGTCCTTCTCAATGTACTTCCTGTATTCGTTCAGTGTAGTTGCCCCAATGCATCTGAGTTCCCCCCTGCCAAGCATGGGTTTCAATAAATTTCCAGCATCCAATGCGCCTCCAGTAGCACCTGCACGTTAAGTAGAACATTTCTACTAAAAAAGGATTAACTATCAAAAAAGCAAGGGGAAAAAAATAGAAAATGTAACACAAACTAAAGATGCATATCCTACAATCATTGAGCATAAGTAGAATACATGAACATGGATTTTCATCTGCAAGTCAGCAGCAACCCTTTCAGAGTAGTTAGCATTCAAGATATATATGCAAAGCGGATAAATTATACTGATGAAAAAGTGAAAGAGGTAGACATTTCGACTTTAATGCATCTAAAAAATTTGCTGAAGCAAAGTTGCACATGTATTTAAGTTTGCAAGTCACTTCCAACAATGAATCGGAAAGAAGCAAGCAATTGCTTGATATGACAAATTCAAAGATAAGGAATGGAGATCCAGAAGCTTATAATTTCAAAACCTGCACCAACTACAGTGTGCATTTCATCGATGAACAATATGATCTGCCCGTTTGAAGCTGTGACTTCCTTCAATACAGCTTTTAACCTTTCCTCAAAGTCTCCTCGATACTTTGCACCAGCAAGCAAAGAACCCATGTCCAGAGAGATCAACTAGCACATACATAAGAAAACAAACAGCGCAATTAAAACATATAAGGGGAAATACGCAATTCACTCAACCTGCAAACCGGGAGAAATAAAGACAGAATATCTGCAATCTAAAGTATATTAAGTTTTGACATATTTGGTATTTATGTGTACTGGTCACAACTCTTCATTTCATGACCTTAAGTAGGTTAGATCTACCTAGATTCACAAAGAAAGGTAACTACAAACAGAAAAATCCAATATCCACACTCAATAGGAGCAATTATCCTTCTTAAATCTATCAGCAGTTTCATCTATAAACTTTCATTCTTCTTTACGCATACCAGACCAGAGAATTTCTGAGAAAGATCTCAATCTTCACAAGAGAAGAGATCCCTAAGAGCAAGGTTAAAAACTATACTCAGCTTGCCATTTTTCAAAGCTTGCTCCAAAGTTGTCAAAGTTTTCCCACATGATTGACAAAAGCAAAAGCACACAGTAACATAAAAATTTAAAGGCCACAAACTCCAAACACGACACATGGTTAAAGAAAATACAAAAGAATTTCAATAGAGACACTAACTTTTGAATTAATGAAGAAAATTTCTTCAGTAAAATCTTCAATGCCTATATAAAGTTCTAATATTACACATCAGATGACAGAGAGGGTACAACCTTTCGGTTCAGCAGAGGTTCTGGGACATCTCCACGGACAATCCTTTGAGCTAACCTGTGAAACATTTGATATGTTGCTGTGACAAACTTGTGGTCTAGTGACTAGCCTTCACATATTTACTAGAAGAAGTAACCATCATTAACATGTACTATTTCTTCAAACCAAATGTCCAGCATAAACTGAAACTGATAACATAAATGGACAAGCACCACAAAAGTTGCCAATCATAATTAAGCATGCATATTGAAACCGGACAAATTGTGGCTATTAAAGGTTTCCCCTAATAGTTATTCCCAATATACACCATCAACTTTGATGAAAATCTATTGTAGTAATAAGGGGGCGAAAATAAACACCACTGCATCTTCTTATCATCCTATATTTTCATTTCAAAGTAAAATATATAAGAAACAACCTAGAACATTAATGCCCAAGGAGAATTTTTTGCTAGAGAAATATAAATTCAACGCATCATCTAAACCACACAGATCAATCAACCCCAAATTCATAATCTAAATTCTCCCAACAACTTATCTGGTAAGTGTCATCTAACAACGGAATCTTGCAAAGGTTGAAAGGTGATAAGAATAATTTAATGTCTCCAAGTATGATGAGTAGTAGATCATGAAAAATAAAGCAGTCATTTGGAGAACATATAACAAAGAATATACTTTTCCAGGTATGTCACATAGCGGCAAAAAATAGAAGATATACCCTTCAGCAATTGCTGTTTTACCCACTCCAGGTTCCCCAATTACAACAGGGTTGTTTTTTGTCCTGCGGGATAAGATTTGGATGCATCTCCGTATTTCATCATCACGTCCTATAACTGGATCAAGTTTTCCGCGTCTGGCAAGTTCAGTTAAGTCATTCCCAAATTTTTCAAGTGCCTCGTATTTACCTTCTGGACCTGTACAATGAGCCAATCAATTATCAGTAAACAACAAAATCAAATGGGGAAGAAAATCGAAGACAACTTTTATGAACTAATAGTTCAAGTAGAAAATAGAGAGAAAGAGAGACAGACGATAATACAACTGTCTCATACAGATATGGAAGAATTTAGTTCTGGAATTAATTGTTTTCTAGCTGTCACCATGAGAGACCACCTGAAATTTGTTGATTGCTTTAGTGTAAAATGGATTGAGGTGTTTATTTATGAATGTCGAAAAGTTATGGGTTCACTGCGTAATATACTTCTTCACTGCTTATATTCTGCAAATATCTGCATTGCATATAACAAATACAGATCTCTAAACTCAATGAACCTTTGTTTCATATGCAGAAACAACAGAAGCTGAAGAAACTACTAACATATAAAATTCTCTGTCATGTTCTTTACGAATTTTTATCAGAGCACACAATTAAGTCTTCTTAAATGTTAACAGCAAGGAACTAGTCATACTCAATAAAAACTTACTTAGACAAAGTAACATGTTTTGAGATTACTTTTTGGTCGAAGTTGATCATCAGCAGAAAATGATGATGAGCCTTTAAGCACAAGAAAATGTTCCCCTTCATTAAAAGATGGTTTACTCCAATTGTGACTCTTACCAATATCTAAAATAAACGTTGCAGCGCAATCCAATTAAGAAGTTCTTCTATTCATTGAATGATTTACGAAATAGCTAAATTTTTCAAAAGTTAAAGCTATAAGATGTGAGCACCCACTCTGATCAGTTACTCTTTGATTACCACGAACAGCTATGACAGCATCCTTCAAAGCCTTCTCGCTTAATTGAAGAGTTTTGAACAATTGCTGCCCAAATCTCTTATCCAAGGGAAATGCCAGCACTAGATGCTCGACAGACAGAAATGAATCACCCATTTCTTTTTTAAATTTCCGTGCATTCTCCAACAGAGAACTCAAATGAGAGCCCAAAATAGGCCCGGTTGTGTCCCCTGAAACCTGCAAGCAAAAGTTATGACAACCATTTAAGGAATATTTCTTGGCATTCTAAGTCACATCTGCTCTCACATATTATACCTTTGGTTGCTGAGATATGAAGGTATCAGTAGACTGCAGAAGTGATGTGTTGTCAGCACCAGCCTTGGTGAATATTCTTCTTGCCAGCCCATCTTTTTGTTCTAAAAGGGATTTCATTAGATGCTCTGTTTCCACAATTTGATGTTTGCTGTATTTTGCTGCGTCCACAGCGCCAACAACTCCATCCCATGCCATCTCGGTGAACTCTGAATTGCTAATCTGGTAAAAATTTAACGCAGTCGAAAAAGTAAAAAATTCAGACTAAAGAATAGCCAAATATACGATGGAACACTAACTTACCCTTGGACCAATTCATAAACACTCGATAAAAATGAAAAATGTATGCACCTGTGAAGATGATGCAGCAGAGGCAGAGTAAGAGCGGGCCGCGGCAGGGAGCGATGTGATGATGCGGCTGAGGCATGATGTGGGGAAAAAAGTAGGGGATGAGAATCCAGTCTCAGCAGATGGAGAGCGGGTCGAGTGGGTGAGTAATCGGATTTGAGGAACTAGAGAGCGGGAGCGGGACGCCCTGAGTGCTGCAGCTGCCATCCTGCTTAGCCGCGCCGCCGTTGAGCTTCCATAAATTGCCATCGCCTTCAAAATGGAAATAAGTACATAAACAGAGATTGTGATTGGGAATTCGCCGCCCACAAAAATGCCGGAGTTAAACTTTGGATGATGTTAACATTGCGTTTTGGCGCTGAATTTTTTTAGCCCTCGAAGCTTGGGGAAGGTTCATGCATCATTTCGAATGCGCTAGAAGTTTCCGCCTCTAAATTCCCTTTTTCCTTTTTGTTTTTAAAGCTAAAACATAAACATTACTATATACTATTGGGCCATAGCCTATAGCAACACTTTTGATTAACAAAATTAAATATATGGCTTATTACTGAGAACGAATAGGTTCACAATTATTTGTATGCTAAAAAAATGTCAACAAGTACACACTTTATGCTAAAAAAATCAATATAATGTTCAAACATTTTAACACTTGCTCCCTTAAGTTAACATTTGTGGTCATTTCCTTCAATTTATTGTTAGTATGTCATTTAAGGCAGTGACGGGCACATGCTTGATTCAATTAATTTTAACAAAATTTTGACGGAATGAACTAGGTGTTCAATTTTTTAAACATGAGGAACCAAATGTGTCCAAATGTGAAATCGCTGCAAACTTAACGAATGAAAACTATACTTTTACTAAAAATTTTAACACTCAAATATATAGCACCAAAAATGTTTATTCATGAGTAGCAACTAGTGCAAGAGAAAGTTGATCATCAAGCTTAGATCACAAAACAATCATTAACTATAGTACACATTTTTATTAATGAAATCATTTAAATGTTAAAAGACATTACAAACAAATATTGCTCCTTTTCATTGTCACAATGTCGATAAGCAGGCAAATATGATGAAACAAATTATACTTGGAAGAGAAATAGTTGTCCAGTACACAGTTGACTTGAAGTCACAGAAAGTTATAAATAAATTTATGTTTCAAAAGTTTGTAAGAAGAATAGATAAGAAATAATAATGCATCATCACAGCATACTTTTTTAATGTAAATCTGAATGCAACCAAAACTCTCTCTCAGGGTTAAACCATTATTGTTATTATTATTATCAAATATATATATATATATATATATATATATATATATATATATATATAAAGATCTTTTCTAGCTAACATTATGGTATGAATCAATAATAGCATCAGCAAGGTATTCACAGTTGGCTGACGATAATCCAGCCAATGATATTCTTCCATCCTTGGTCATGTATACATGCCATTTGTTGGTCATGTTGTCACTCTGGTTCAGCCAAAGGGTAGAAATATCAGCACAAGTCACACAAAATTCCAAATTGAGAAAATATGTATGTCGTATTTTCAAATACCTGAGCTTTATTCAAGCCAGTGAATGAGAACATGCCAATCTGTTTGAGAATGAAAGACCAGTCCTTCCCACTGTTATCTTTTGCACACAAACTATCATACAATTTCTTTCTGACACTCTTTATCCTTCCAGCCATCGATGCCATCTCCTCTTTCCATTCACTGAAGAGATCTGAATTCCCCACAATATTAGCGACGATCCTGGCTCCATGTATGGGAGGATTTGAGTACATTGGCCGTGCAAGTCTTTTCAACTGGCTTTTTACCCTGCATTAACCAGCACCAGTCACTCTTAACTATTTTCAGAGATTGATTCAATACTCCAACAATATCATACACCTCTAAAGCAAACCCTCAATAAGGACAACCAAAGAGTCCCAGCACTCAAAGTCTATCCTCAGTCTATTGTAGGATTTTTCACATTGGATCGGGACAAATCATTAGATTTAGCACAGCCAGCAAACATCATAGAGATTTCCTGAAACTATTACATGTAATGTGCCTCTACTGTTTTAGTTGCTTGTCAGTGTAGTCAGAGCCTCAAATGCTAACACTCCAAAATTACAGAATGCCCAACAAGATGGAAAAAGACAACCACCAAGTTGAAAGTACAAACATCACGTGGGATATTAAAACATGCAGCCAACATTTTTTTACTGTTACAAATGTGCTACACATACTGTGTGGTGCCAGGGGATGGAGCTCGAAACTGACACAAGAATTGAGAAGTCAAAATTCGAGTGGAAGCGTAAACATGGTTCATGTTTGCGGAAAATACAAAGTTTAAAAAAAAAATTGGCATGAAGCGTGAACATGGTCTATCTTCATGAAAGTACAGAGTGGGGTTGAATTTTGACGCAAAGCGCAAACATGAAGAATCTTCAGCAAATTCCATGAATGAATATGCACTCTACCTCAATCTATTAAAGCACCTTCTGAAATTCAATACAATATGAAAATAAAAAAGAAGAAATATCCTTTTCTTGTTACCTATGTGCGACGTCAGATGACGAGCAGACAACATTTATAGCTCCAATCCTTTCTGCATAGAGACCCAAATTTTTACTGTACGACTGAGCAATTAGAAGTTCCAGACCACGCGCAGCAAACATTCTCACCGATGATGCATCTTTGTCAAGGCTCCCACTAGCAAAACCCTACATTCAGATTGGGATACACACATATTTACATTTCTATGATTTCCAAATCTCATGAATTTAAACTTTAACATGGTTGTATTAACCACCCATGATGTCAGAATAAATGGAGCGCTAGTGACAAAAGTATAGATTCGAGCCCTAAATCCAAAGAAATCGTAAGTCAAATAAAAGAGTACCTGGTAGGCAACATCAAAGAATGGAATATGGTTCTTTTCCTGAATGACATCAGCAATTATTTCCCATTGTTCTGGAGTGGGATCAATGCCAGTTGGGTTGTGTGCACATCCATGAAGTAACACGAAAGATCCTTCTGGAGCTGCCTGAATTCAAGAGGTTTCATTCAAAAAGTGGACCATAGATTGCTTCTTTTGGGATTATATAATTTATCTTGTTTGTTGAGGTGAAGAGAAAGTTCGGACTATAACAACCATCAGTCGTATGCATCTCAAACAATAAACAAGGAGTTGATCTGCCTAATCAGAAACGGAGTAAAAAGCATACACGAACTTGATTGTACATGAGGAAAAGAAAGAAGTTAAATTACTAAACTGTTAGGCTGCAGAAGGGAAGGTGCAGATATCTTTAGAAAGACAGAACATAATGATTGCAACCTACTTCTGTTGGAGTCGGAGTAGCAAAATTCAGAACTATTAGAGTCTAATTTCATGAAGATTGTGTAAAGATCCTTCTTGGTTCATAATGAAAGGGATGAGCTATATTATCGGGGTAAATGGTCTTTGGTGATTTATCCCCTTTAACAGATAACAGATAACTAAAAGAGCTTTTGAGGTTTGCTTGTCACAAGGACCATACCAACTGATATTACGTCTGCCAGTTACCTCCTAATTACAATCTTGCAGTGGGATTAGTAACACTTGAGGGGGCTGGGGCTTCAGAGCATTCTAGTTGGTTGCTCAAAGAGTATATGGGACTAAGGTGATGGATCAATACGGCCTTTTCCCCCTTATCACGAAAAGAGAAGATACAGCCACACATGGCATAGTAAACTCATGATTAGCCACCAAATATCAATATGTGATCATACAACTAATGGAATCAACAGACACTGATTTACTGGAACAAGTTGCTCAATGCATGAGTTACAAAGAGCAAGGAGCTGATGCAAAAATTACTAATTCAGTTGAGGGTACACAATTCAAAAGTAGATTCGAAGAAAATATGGTTTTAGTAACCTTTATGTCAGATATCATCCCATCAAAATCCAAACCGACCGTTTTCGGATCATAATAGCGATACTCAGACCATGGAACTCGGGCATCATTGAAAATGTTTTTGTGGTTCCCTGCAGAGACATAATTAATCAGACTAAGAAAACCAACATCTTATTCAGTAATGTTGAAAGGGTATGTTAGCAAATACCCCAGGTTGGAGATGATATCAGAACTTTAGAACTAGGAAAGTATCTTTCTATCAACGCTGCAGCAAGCCGCAGAGACCCAGTTCCTGAAAGACCCTGGACAGTGGCAACCTGTGACAAGAAAATGGAATTAGTTTACAACTCACGATTTCATTCTGATTACCAATAACAATTCTTTAATAAAAAATGAAAACTGCATATTTCTTACCCTTTGTTGCAGAATAACAGGATTTTCTGTTCCAAATAATAATTCTGCTGTAGCCTTATTAAAGGCAGCCAAACCTTCGATCGGTAGATACTACACGTTGCGATAGATATTTGTAAGTAAACAAAACCCAGAAATGATGCTACTTCATAATCTTTGATTTAAAATAACAAGTACCTCTTTGTTTTCTGCCCATTCCAGCATAAGAGTTTCTGCCTATAATTTTTAATTTTTTTTATAAAAGGAAAAGCGTGGTCAAAATATATTTTATTCTAAAATAAAATATGTAGTAGAAGCATTGGCCACTATAGGAAAACCAGTGTAATGTATAATGTATAAACAAGAGTAGATGAGGCAGTTTACTTTCTTCACAACATTGAGCACATAGGGTTGAAGATCTTCAGTACGATAGGCACCCACACCAAGGTTAAGCTTCATTTCGTTGGTATCTGCTCTGAATGCTTCAGAAACTCCGAGAATGGGGTCAGGGGGAGCCATTGTTATGTCAGTGAACTTGGAATTCTCAACAGCAACGCTCATGCTTGTCCTAAAGAAAGACTGCTATAAAGAAGACGTAATTAATGAAGGTCAAAAAATCTGATATTCCAAGTAAATACGATGAACTTTGTTTCTTTAGTTATTCAGAGAATTGAAGTGCATAGGGGAGCAAAAAGGCTAAAAACGCACCTTTGAGTTGATATGATCATTCCCGAGAAATGTCATTTGATTGGAAGTTGCCTGGTAAACCATAGAAACCAGGAATTCAATAAAACAGATAACAAATTCGGATCGCAGAAAGAAAAGGTTACCTTGAGATTGTGTAGGAATCGGCGGCGACAAGGCAAGGCAGAAGAAGCAGTGGAGGAGGCAAGAGAGAGAATCGGTGAAGAAGCCATATCCGGAGAGCTGTAAAGATGAAGAATAAAAGAATGATCAATAATCGAAGAAAATGTATGGATGGATGGATCGGGATGAGAAATCACACATAATAAAATACAATTGAATAATTTACAGACCAAATAGGAAAGATGAAGCAGCAGCGAGCGATAGAAACGAGAGGAAGAGCAGATGGATATCGGAGAAATCACAGGAGGAGACAGCGATAGAAATTAGAAAGTGTCTCTTCACTTGCTAATAATAAATAATAATAATCGATTTCATTTTTAACCGTTGGTTTGTTACGTGACCAAAAAAACTGCGGCCCAAATAAGAAAGCCCACGAAGCAAATAGTCTGTCTGGATCGATCAGCTTCCGTAATGAAGCACAAACTGTTGAGGTGCAAACAATGTCCCACATCGGTTAAATATGGGAAAGATCTATCCTTTATAAGGAGGGGATAGTAACTCCATTGGTATGAGGCCTTTTGGGGAAACCCAAGAGCAAAACCAGTTGGGCCCGGCCCAATCTGGACAATATCATACCAATGTGGAGTTCGTGCTATCCCGACGGGGGCCCAACAGTGGTATCAGAGCCATGGCCCAGACTTAACCATGTGGTGGAAATTGCCGGAATCTGTGTGAAATTCCTGAATCCTCGGTGCCGAACAAATATGGTGAGCTCCCGGTGCGCAAATGGAGGTGGCTCGACGAGCTCCAGGTGGGAGGCTCGGTGTTCCTTTGTTCGAGGCTCGGTGCGCTCTGTAACAAAGATGGTGTGAGCCCCAGGCGCAAATTGAGGGGAGGCTCGGTGGTCCTTTGTGGTCCGACCTATGTGGTACTTTGTTCGAGGGGAGGATTGTTGAGGTGCAAACAATGTCCCACATCGGTTAAATATGGGAAAGATCTATCCTTTATAAGGAGGGGATATCGGTTAAATATGGGAAAGATCTATCCTTTATAAGGAGGGGATAGTAACTCCATTGGTATGAGTGGTATGAGGCCTTTTGGGGAAACCCAAGAGCAAAACCAGTTGGGCCCGGCCCAATCTGGACAATATCATACCAATGTGGAGTTCGTGCTATCCCGACGGGGGCCCAACACAAACAGATGCCACTTCCACAGCACAAGTTATTGAATTGCTAGGCAAAACCCTAAAACCTTGATTAATTGATTGATTGATATATATTTGGGCGTAAATGGGGGGAGCTCTCGTCAATGGCTTACGCCGCAGATCATCACTGCTTAATCCCTCCATCATCAATTGGATTTCCCCTTCCACAAAAAGTGTATGCCGTCGTGGGGCCCATAACACATCCCTTCAAACTCACCCGTCACCTTCATCGAAGATACGAAGGATCCTGAGAAACGAGATCCAATACCATTATGATTACGCTCCTCCTCACCAGGTACACCTTTAATTTTTTTTTCTCTTTCCCTTGTGTCCCAGTCGTCGATTGCATTTGATAATTTGATAGTTTTCCCTTGTGTCTCAGCCCGTGGCGCAGTTCGATAGATTTATTGTAGAAGATCGACCCGGTGAACAGTGGATTACATTGAGGGGGAAATCAGCTGATGATGAAAATATTAAAATTGAAGCAACAATGTTTGATGGTTCCATTCTTGTTCCAAAATCAGAAGATGCAGAAGATGTTCGACTTCACATCAGCATGGTGGTTGATATATGGAAAGGAGAAACAAGTGATCACTTTATGGAGTTTGTGTGCTCAGCTTGGCCAGATTCTTTAGAAATCCAGAGACTTGTTATATTCAAGCCACCGCCACACCAACAACACTCTCCATCTCAACCTTGTATGGGTCCGGACATTAGGTGCGGTGGTACACACGCACATTAGTTAATTTATTCGGATACTAGCACTGCTGCTACTCACAACTGTTACTTGCAGGAATTTAAATACCCAACTCCGGAATGAGTTTTACAAGTTCCTGGATACAAGGGGGGTAAATGATGGCCTCGCCAAGTTTTTGCATAAATATATGATCAACAAAGACAGGATTGAGCTTATACAGTGGTTGGGAAAGCTCCAATCCTATTTTGAGAACTAGGTAGATTTAGATTCATCTTGTTGAATCTTCATAAACATATCATGTGTCCTTTATGTTTCAAATTTTGCAGAGGCTATTCTGTGCCTTTTGGGCGAATTCTTTCTTTGTATGCCATTTTCAAACAAACATTTGTGGATTAATTGTGTGTTCCGGTGAAAAAGATGCACATATAAAGACTGTTTCTTTTGTGCATGAATTGTGATATTTGGGAAATTGACTCTAATTAATACTAGATAAATGATATCAAAACAAATCATTTATCTCCTCCATGTTTGCAAATCAGTGCATGCATCGGCCAATGATCAGTCTAAATTATCAGAAATCAAAAGTTGAATACATATGTAATCATTGAATGCGAATCATGACTTTCTGTGTGAGAAACAAATGTCATAAATAGAATTTTGTTTGAATAAAATGGTGTGATACAATTGAACCTCAGATGCCATGATAAATGTAAACAAACAAAATCCAGCAACAAGCCGATAGGATATGTATGTACAAACAGTATACCAGCCTTAAGATCATCTCATATGTGAAAACTCCTCTACTTGGTCCACCAGTATATCAAAATCAGAAATGTGCAGACAGATGCAACTAAGGAGAGTATGATGGTGTCCATGGACTTTTTCTTCTTTATTGCTGAGAGTATATGATTCACCTGCAAAACTCTCAAGTGTCACAACATATCAACTAATGTAACAATAACTTGTATTAATTTTCTTACCGTGGGAAGGCGGCTGCTGACATTACTGAGCTTTGAGTTGATGCCCCCAAATGTGGAACGTTGGAACACCAAAGACTTTAAGGTCTCTTGTGCTTGTGATATCACAGAGTCCATCTACATCAAAACAAAATAGGCTGAGCTTTTCCAAGTAACTTGCTTAATATACAAGAGATAACAGGAAGCACATATAATGTCGAGCAAGATTTTTCCAAATACCCTTATCATATTTACATACATTCGTACATATCTATGTTCTATTTGAAACAATGATACATCCACCACGTACCAAAACTGAGAATTTAAGGCGTCATGACACAGTTATTTTAGGGAAATTGCAACCCATTGCTTTTGAAATTCGAATCAGGCACACTTTTTCTCTCGGGGCATTTTGAACTATGTTCAATCTGTTATTTGAATTTAACCTTTGTCACTCTTCCAATTTCCTAATATTAAGAACTACGCTAAACAAGCAAGGTCAACCATTTCAGGCAACCCTCTAAACCAAAGGAGGTCTTATCACTAGGTTGCAATATTCTGAACCAAAGGCCACACTGTTTCCAATATGCATCATCACCATGGAGATCAGTGATATTCAATGAACTTCAGAATTTCTCATAAAACTGACAACTCCCTAGTATTCCCCAAGTTATCCCTAAAACATGCATAGTGATGTTTCACGTTTAAATTATCTCTCTTCGTTGTGCTATCCAGCAAAAGATTGATTCATGGTGTCAAGATAATTCAATAGTTTTTTTCTCAGATGTAAAACTTGCTTAAAATTTATGCATCCTTGATCGTACAAATATTATTTATATTTCACAATTGAATCAACATTTCCACATGCCTCTATACTCCAGTGTCGTGTTCTATGCTCAAAATAATTGTTAAAGTAACATGTGTATCCACCTCAAGCACCACATTAACAACTCTTGACAATCACACCTACTAACTAAACTTGTCATTCAACTTTGAGTCCACATAGACCATATTAGTTATTACCTGACCGGCACTTCTATGGACGGAAGCACGTTCCTTCAGAAGAGCAGCTTGTTCGTAGGAACCACCACCATCTTCGAGGTCTAATCTTGTACGATCGAACTCCCTAAAATCCTCAAGCAGTGATGCGTGCTCTTTCTTAGCTCTATGACTGGAATGGAGTCGATTAAATTCCTATAACCTCAAAATTGGATTGAGTGAGATATATTAAGCCAACAAAATTGTAATTATTTAACAAATTAGTCAACAAAAAAGTTTTGCTATCTGAAAGAGGATGAAACTAAGAACCTAACTAAAAGGATAGAATCTAGAATACAGGTTCTTAAGATAGTAAAAGTAATCAAATTATATGAACCTGAGTAAGATCCTGAAGAATTTCTTGATGTCGAGTCAACGTATGAGAAAATATTTCAGATCCTCCAGATGAAACCCAAGCTTGCATTTGCAAATTTACTTGTTGAAGTTGTTTCAAGAGCTGACCAATTCCAGATTCCACATCATTATCATTAGAATCATTAACTCTTGTTGATACTAATTTACGATATGAATGCATCTGCTCATCCAGCTGGGCTTCAAGTTTCCGGGCCTAGTTGGACGTAAACAAAATAGGGACAGTGACAGTCAGATTTCAGACAAAGAGAGAAAATAATAGTCAACATATTAATGTATATAAGTTTTACAACAAACTCAAAGTGGTTGTGGAGATTTAAAAATAAAAGAGTTGTCTAAAAAACATTGTCAGGATTTACACTTGAGAGAACATTTGAAGACAAATTCCTGATACAATTACCAACAATGCTCATTATTTGGCAGAAGTGATTAAAGATCTTCTGAGCATAACATCACAAATGACTCTATGATGAGTTAAGGAACAAATCTAGCATAATGCATTGTTTTTGCATCATCATCATCATCATCATCATCATCATCATCATCATCATCATCATCATCCGATCAAACAACATAACCATGAAAATGTAGGAAACCCTAAAATCGAAAGCGTACAAATGGAATTCTCAATAAAAGAGAAGAAAAATCGGATAATTGAAAACATAATTACATACCTGTTTACGCAAGGAATCCCAAGAGCTAGGAGGATCCATTTTTTTTTTCTGGATTCACAAATTTCCTCAATCCAATTCTCCACTGCTAGGTAAGTGGGATTCGTGTGTGGATTATTGATTTAATACAGAACAGGGAGAAGGGGAAAGGAAAAACAAAAATCGAAAGAATAATATGTGCGAATTTGGTGGATGGATTGGGAAACAATAATATATACGGGAATTGAGATGGGGCGTGCGTGAAAATGAAGGAAATGTTTACAGCAAATTGTCAACTGCTCTACAAATTACCTACTGCTATTGTCCGTCGGTTGCGTCTATTTTTGTTTACTAATTCATCTATCGTCCCCCTTTATTTTTTTTTGTATTTTTTTTTTTTTTTTGTATTTGTATGTATGATAAGTTATATTTTCGTTTTATCACATTATATAATATTTTGTTCGGTAACACTGGGAATATTGTATGTAACTTGAATACCATGTGCGACAGGAGCAATCTTTATAGCCCACTAAGCGAGTTCTCAGCCCACTTCAACTCTTGTTGACCATTGGGCGAACTCTTGGCCCATTAAGAGTGGGTTCTCGGTCCACTTCGACCCTTGTGGCCATTGGGCGAACCCTCATACATGTGTCCATCGCGATCCATTGGATCTTGACTTTGATAAACTCCAAATATGGGGTTTTCGCACAATGTCGAACTGCGTCTACTTCATCCCCCTGTTCGCTAGTGAACATAGCGGAGTGGTTCACTACAAAGTACCATCTTCGAATGGTTCATCTTGACCTACTAAGTACCCTTTCTAAACAGTTCATCATGACCTACTAATTTTAGTTATCTTCATCATCTGAACCATGTCATTTGATGATCCTACAAAGCATCCTCTCCAAATGGTTCATCTTGACCTACTAATTTAGTTGGTCATATTATCATGGTTGTGCAGGACAATGGGAATTTATATGCAGGTTGATGCTCAAGGAGAGGATTATTAGTATGAGCTAATAATTAATTTCCTAGGTTGTTGTATTCTATGCCACCCTTTGGTATTGTAAGAGGAACAACTTAATGACAAATCATTTGTACAACCCTTTGATATGATTTAATATGCGTATAACCAACCTTTTGTCCAATCAGAATTTCCCTGAAGCTCTGTTTGTAGAAGGTATATTCATTCCACGTGCGTTTTCAATTTGTTCGGACAAGAAACAAACAATGAAAAGGGTGCGCAACAATCAAAACAATGATCAAAGTAAGCTACTAAACAACCAACAACCTTTTCATGATAAAACAATCAATTCTAAGAGTAACATCTATGGGCACAATCGTCCATGCATACAAACAAACAGACACACAACATATTAAAACAATATATAGTTTTTAATTTAACTAATTAATTCACGATCTGTAGTCCATCATATATTCTGTAGTTTCTGGAAGAATTTCAAAATAAATTGGAGCAAGTACTAGTTCACAATGATGATGATGAGCTAAGAAGGGGTGGCAGATTTATTGTCCTCCATTTCTATATCAACAGATCCATCTCGATTTGTTGGTTCTGCTTCACTAGTATCTGTATCCATAACTTGTCCAAGTGTAGATGAGGAGGAACCCAAATTCTCAACTTGCTCCTTGTCATCATCCGCTTTACAGCTCAGCTTATCCATATACGAACTCAGCTGCACTGATGAAAGTATTTGGTCTATCTCTTCATTACAAACTTGAAGAACACCCATACTTTTTCCCATCTTCAAACTAGCAGCTCTATTATTATATGCTTCACCTGAATCTGGTCCATTCTCACCCACTGTCCTGCTCATCTGCATGGTCGTACCCAAATTATATTCTATCGACAACATTCAAATTAACATTGCAACTCATTTATTATCAATAGAATTTACCTGGTTATAGATTCTGGCCATACCTAAGCGATCCGAGTTTTTATCACAAGCAAATACCGAGATTTCTTCAGGAGCTGCATTTACCGGGATATAAATACAGGTCATAGCTTCACTCTTTTAGTAATAATAAGTTATCGAGAGGAAAGTTTTGGAGATTTTCATTAGATTCTTTCAATGTAAAATAAATCCCAAAACTCTGACTGTCACTTTTTTAAGTTAAAGTCAAATTCTAGATATATGAATAACTTAGACCTTAAGTCATGTGACTGATGATATATAGCTCCATTCTCCTAAAGTATACTATGCATTTGGAAATTTAAGAAAAGATATTACTACACATAACAGGGAAACCTCACAAAAGATTGGGAACAAGAAGAGCTCATTAGTCTCAGTTAACTTATATCACTGTTTAGCTACATAAATATTCCAGACAAGTTTTATCGACCAATTAAAGAAACTTACAGATTATTTCAACTTGAGGCAACTGATCCATCATTTGGGCATCTGATTCCCCAGTGCTTGAAACTTTTGTATCTCTGACGCTGTGCCCAGTCCCATCAACTGGAATTTCATCTGTTTTTTCATCAGCCTGAAAAGAATCATCTAGTTTAAAAAAAGAAAACGTGCGGTGGACCATAAATATTGACCTCGCAGTAGAGTAAATATGACATTCGTCAATAAAAGCATACACCTCAAACAAAATTTAACAAAGTGATAGCATCTCAAGAGGGACAGATCCAACAAAGGAATAAACAAAGCATGCCAGGTTACAATCAAAGCATTTTTGTACTACTTCTACCACCATTAATGCATAAAAATCCACCTATACTAATATAAAAGACTTACATAATATACTTTCTGGTATTCTGCATTGAGTCCTTTTTCTAAAAGAAGCACCCTTTTTTTGACAAACTCCACTTGTCTTCTCTGCATCTCCCTAAAATGATAGAGCATAGATTGTTCTTGAACAAGTTGTGGTCTGGTTGAAGTATCAGTAGTTCCATGTGCAACATCAGCTCCAGAACCATTTCCCCCAGTAGCTCCCTTTGCCTGTGCAGGTGCTTCAACATGTTCCGAGTTCACACCATCTTGTGGTTGAGAAAATCCCGTTGCAGGGACATGTGGTTGAGAAACTCCCGAAGCAGAGGCTTGTGCCTGAGACACCCCTGAAGAAATATTTAGTGCTTGAGGAGTTCCTGTGATAGGTGTGTTGATAAACGGAAGGTTCAGCTCTTGACAGATGACTTCCTGTATTCTCAAGTCCTTGTCGTCAACAATTGCTTGCCATCTTCCATAACCATGTCTTGATGTTCAGATAAACAACAAAAATCAAATTAATACACGGAAAAGTTACAGGATGGCTTTATTAAATCAAATGACATGTAACGCGGCTTTAATCATAATATTTAAAATAGACACAGAAGATGATTGGAAGTACCATATTTTGCAAGGAAAAATCAACTAATTGTAGAAAGGGATAATGCTTGATAGTTATTTCTTATATTTGGACAATTTCATTCTTTAAAGGCTACAACATCTACCCCAACCACGTTGGATTCAGACTCTATGTTGATAATAATATGTTTGTTTCCCCCTTCGTCATGAAACTTCAAATCGAGAAGAAAAAAAAAAAGCTGAAGAGAAAGAGGCAAAAGGGATCATACTTCATTACTGCTCGCAGCAGCAAGCGGTCGTGGTGCTCCTTCCAAAGTCTGCCTCCTTTCAATCCTGGGTAGCGGGATATAATATCATCCGTGAAAAGGGTAGGGCACTCTGATAAAGCATTGACCTGCCAACCCAAAGAAGTTTTATCAAACAGGAATTGAGCATGAGAAGATATCTGTAATTTAATACTAAGGTGTTGATAATATGCAACATAATCCACTAATCATATGATACAAGATATCATCCTGTCTTCAAAAGTTAAAAGAGGCATAAAAGTTTGTATAAAAGGTATTGCAGGAAATGTTCACACGTTTTTTATTAGTTTCTTACCCATACAGTGTTAAAATACATGGCCTCATGCATACATACAAATATATGTGGAGCCAATAGATGTCGTCATTTTCAAAAGGCCTGGTTGCTGAAAGATTGTCATAAATGCAGATTTGGAGAGCTGTTTTGAATTCAATTTGATGCTATATATACATGTAGCCCGAAAAAGTTACGACATTGTATATGAAGATTCTACCTTGGCCCTAGTAAAGTTATAGCTATACAAAATAAGGCAAGCTAGCCACAATCTGCTCAGAAATGTCTTATTAAATAATTAACTAGGACTGTACATTCACAAGTTCAAGTGGTTAATGACAGCAACACTCCTTTCTATCCAATAACACAAGATGTCAAGACAAAAATTATCACTGAAAGACAACAGCAATAAATAAATTTAAAAAAAAAAAAAAAAAGCCATCGAGTGATAAGACCAATGGAACTATTTTTTCTTCAGGATAAAAACCTTACTTTTTCCCTGAAGAGAGTTAGTGTTCCTATCCTGACAAGTACATCCTCTATTCTTAATCCTTCTTTGGGTACACCATCTGCAACCAACAGAAATTATGTATCCTTCAACTGGTTAACTAATAAACTAAATGTACTTGAATAGAGATATTTGTAGTGCCGAATTACCTGAAAACGTAGGCGAATCAGTTAATTCTTCGCTCATGTGCTCCAAGAAAAGTCTCCCATAACTGCATAACAATTAATACTAATCAGCACATGTGTAGCTAACTGTAAAAAGCATTCAAAAGTACATTCGCTGAAAGAACAAACTATTAGCCCATTTAATAAGAGACTTGATTCAAAGCATTTCACGCTGGACTAATTTGTGCTTAAGAGTTAGTCCAATGGACAAGGTCACCAATCTTCAGGATTTCCCAATTCTACAAGCAGGGGCAGAACCATGATTTACTACTGAAACAAATGTCATATATAGTTGCATGACATCAGCTTCTAAAGCATGTAAGCCATAATGACGAAGAATACAAGTCCAAGATGCCTGAACCAATGTAGCTGCTCTGACACAGATATCGATGCAACCAACATTTCAAGATAAACGTGGAGTAGAATAAACCGATCACATACTCATTGATCTCTTCATAGGTCTTCTGTTTTAGACGTGGTGCAAACTCTACCCAATCACAGTCACCTATTCCAAACCTGACACACGGTTCAGATACAAACATTATTCTTTGAGAAAAAAATATGAACTCGAGATTTATCTACTCAAAAAAGAGCAAAAGAGGCAAGAAAAGCAATAAATGGAATTTAATATTGAATTTTGATGAGAACTCGAGAGTAAAATGCAACCTCATCAATATTTGAACAAACACAGCCCTCTGATTTTGATTAAAGCCCAGTACTCGTAAATATCTTCCTTCACCCTCCAGCAAAGGAAGTTTTTCTGAAGTGTCTGGTGATAAAATTGAACAATAGAAAAATAGTTAGGCACTGTCTCATTCGTCCCATCAATTAATGAATAATAAGTATTTAATCCATACCACGAACTCTCTTTCGGTAAGGCCTTCTGACAGCTGCAGCTCCAGCTGCAGCTGTCTCGTTATCAGTTAACTCGGCTTCATAGTTATCATCTTCCCCATCGGAACTCACATCTTCCAAACCAGCAAGGTCATCGTCTTCAACAGATACCATCTGCACTCAAGTATATATAAGGCAAACACAAAAGGAACTATGAAAAACAAGATAATTAATACTGCACATATGTTTCACTATAAAACCCCAGAATGGTGAAAACCACAAGCTAAACTTTTGGAACATTAAATATCTTGTATTCATAGAACATCTGACGTAACATAGATAATTGATAAATAGGAGTTAATATTCCAATTGCCATTAAAAGAGTAATTAGGAGTTTTGTTAAATATCTTGTTTTTACTCAACACATATGTTGAATGGGCTTCACTTGATCAAACAACCCTAAATTGTGTATCAACTATCATGCTCTTCATTTTTCTTATCCACGCATTTCGAGAAGTGTACTAACAATAAGCAACTTAAGATTTAAGTGAGCATCACGGCAAAAAACTAATAGAATTCCAAAACATACCTGTTTGCGGCTCCTCTTTCCCTTGCCCATAGCATTAAACTCTTCCACTTTGTGAACTTCGTATTTATCTCGTAAAAGGTCTTCCCAAAAGCTTGCTCGTTCAGAATTGTTCACCGAGGGTTTAATCTCTGGTGCTGGCAAAGGTGTTTCCTCTTCTATTGCCAATTCCGATTCATCAACATACTCGAAATTTGCTACCTGCGACATCAGCTTCATTTAGCTTCCACTAGAATATGAGGGTTCATTAGCAGAATATATTAAATAGAGTAAAGACGAATAAACAAGTAAAAAAGAAGTCTCCAATATTCAAAAAATAGAAGTTGTTCAGATACAGGAAAATCTGACCTAAGCACTTTCCCAGGACCAATAACAAAGTCGAAAACTACTTGATGACTTCAGTTATTACCTTGTCATTCTTTCAAACTGAATCGCAGCAACCCTAATCAACAATTGGGGAAAACCATAGCCAACTATAGGGACCAGATTTTAATAGTACTCAATAATATCTCCGTTTTGAATAATGGTATCCAAATTTTCTTACCATGTTATTGTACCCGTTTAACTGAAATGATGGTTTCATAAACTATCGCGACAAAAAACACAGTATCACATGTTAGATCTAGATGGTATGACACACGAGTTATGACCAACTACCTACAAAAGTCATGTGGTGACATATACAATATTAATACTGAAATTCAGGTAATTATGAACCTTAAAGGCTTTTAAAAATCCATCTTCCTCTTCATCGTCCAATGGAGCCTCTTCATCTTCAACTTGTTCACGATTAAGTAATCTACATCACAGAGCATTCACGTTTTAAACTAACCACATAATGCAAATAGTACATCCAGTGGAACATCGGAGAAAATTAATTTACCTATCAATTGCAGTATCATCATAATGGATCTGACGAGATTTTACCGACTCATCGTTATCATCAGCAAATAACTCCTGTGAGCCATACCTTATGATATCATCTAATTCCTCCTGCACCCGAATCAAAATATATCAAAACAAGAAGCTTCAAAAAGAACACCGAGGAGAACTTGACTTCTTCCGATAAATATATAAGCAAGAAAATCCTCAAATATGTCAACAGATATATAAGAAAGGTAGTCGTAAGACTGGAGAATGCCCTCCAGTTGTGGTATTTCACTAAATTTTATAAACTCACCACGGATGGTAACTCCTATCAGATTCTATAGGTAAATTACAACATATTCTGTAAATGCTATCTGATTTTAGGAAACCAAATCATTCATGTGGAATGCACTTTGCATATAAAAGGGAGGACGCGTAAGCACTAGCACTGTTACATGTAAATAGAGGGAGATTTGCTGGAAAATGACAGATACGAAAAACTAGAGAAAAAGAAAAAGGAAAATCTGATGGGAAGAAAATCATTTGGGGAATAAGATTCTGCGGAAACAAAAATCTACTTTTCCAAATCTAGTATGTATAGAAAGAATTTTCCCCAGAGCCACCATACTATATAGCATTTATTACATATACTTTCTCATTTTTCTTAAAATATTTAGGTTTTCTTGTTTAATACGAAGAATTTTATTCTTATAAATCTAATAATGTGTATTGAATATACACGACTGTCAAAAATTTGTTCATTAAATTGTTTCATCAATCTTGAGTTTATACATCGATTTAGTACTTATGATGAACTTGGTTTAGTTTAAATGGCTTTTCCTTTACCCATCCTACCATTTCGAATATAAATAATACTAGCACCTATATTGTCTATCGACATTTAATTGTCAAGTCAAAATATTATAACATCTACATTCTTTGATGGTGGAAATTTCATTGACTTCAAGAGAACTAATTCATATTAGGCACAGGATGGGAATAAATACCACGGAAAACTATTGAAAAATCAAGTCTCAGCAGTTGATATCTCTTACCATTAATCTTCTTGATACTACATAATGTACTTTTTTTTTATTTTTCTAAAAGACTACCACAAAAGGAGTAAAGGAACATGTCACATAAATACAAGAAAACAACACAGATCCATCTATGACCTTGTGGTAGAAATACAATGCAGCAACACATATCTATCTGTGTAAATCTATGCAGCATGAAAAATTGGGATAACTCGATGGCAATAAACGGTTCCAATTAGACTAAAATACTTTTACCTGGTTAATATTTTGTGCTTTGAGCCTTCCGACTACTAGGTGTTCCAAAACCATTTTCTTTTTTGTCATCTGCATCATCCTTTCTTCAATGGTTCCACGTGCTATGAGCCTGTAAATCATTACCTACATATAGAAGCATATTTTAAAATCATGTATACGCCAAGCAGTGAACATGCAGATTCTTCCATTGCGAAATCTACAATGAGAGTAACCTTATTGGTCTGACCAAGGCGATGAGCTCTTGCCATTGCCTGCAGATCTGCGTGAGGATTCCAATCGCTGCAATTTTTATGTTCGATTACCACATACCCATACGAAATTAGAATACGCAAGCAAAGAGACATAAATACATTTATTTTGTTTTCTTTGAAGCAACATTTGGCATAGTTCTAGCAACATTAAATATATCAAAAGAGAAAAGATACATGATCATACAAAAATGAATACAGTGCAATAATTTGGAGGTACATGCCATTACACACTAAAACATTAGGATTACCTGTCATATATAATTACAGTGTCAGCAGTAGCGAGGTTTATTCCTAATCCCCCAGCTCTAGTTGAGAGCAGAAAACAAAATCTTGATGAATTCTTAGCATTAAACCTATCGATTCGAATTTGCCTTTCTGCTCCACCAACTTTTCCATCAATCCTTTCATAAAGCCATTTCTGAGAAATATATAAGAATAGCAAAAAGCAAAAATTGGAATTATTGCCGCACGTATAAATATCATGTAAATTGAATACATTCATTCATTCAATTATTCATACCCTATAGTTACAGTAATCTTCTAATAGGTCCAGCATATGCTGAAACTGAGAGTAAATCAAAACTCTGTGGCCCTGCTCTTTAAGTTTGAGCATCATCTTGTCCAGAAGTTGTAATTTTCCCGATGTTTCTAACAGTTGCCTGAGATAAATATCATTGTCAGAAGAAAAGTTTTAAAATGTATCCATCTTGAGAATAGGAAAACTATGATATTGTACATCAAATGAAACAGATTCATATTTATGTCTTCAGTAGAATAGTTTTTTTACAGAACAAGAGCAAGCAGTCAAAATAAAAGACAGAGATGACACAAAAATTAATTTCATGCAGTCACCAAATCCATTTTCAATTTAAACCAACAAAAAATCTAGGAAACCAGAGTAAAATGCATATATAACCTGTGAAACTCGTTAGTATCTTCCGGTTCAACTCCTTCCAACATAAAGAGATGACAACAGAGCTTGCGCAGTTCCATCACCACATTTATAAGGGAAATCTAGCAATCAAAATTGTTAACTAAGTACTTCTCTCACACTAAGCCAATTATATTAAATAGAACATTATGAGAAGTTGAATACGATGGTCAATTAACAACTTACCTGGGCACCACCTTTGCGAGTTAGTATCTGGTAATTGCGGGTCAAGATTGCTTTGTAATACTCTTTCTGCTTTGTACTCAATTCAACACGCAAAATTAATTCCTTTTTGGGAGGTAGCTCTTTCATGACATCTTTCTTTAGTCCTGCAATCAAAGTGTAAAAATTCATATACAGTCATATGAGTACAAAAATGATATGATGCATAGTAAGAGAATAATACTAAAAGAAACTAAGGCCTTCAACATCATAGTTCCATCTAAAGCCTCAAGTAAATATGAGCGGTTCATAGATCTGCATGGGCCCATCTTTCGCAGCTAATAAAGTGACATCAACGATCCATGATGGTACAAGATGGTCAATATATGCATAAACAGGGAATATTAATAGACCGATCAGATCGCAGATTGAAACCATTCCTCGAAAAGGGTTGAAAATTCCTTTTTATTCGTCTATTGAGGATTTCTGCAAGGTTCATTAAATGATGGTATATAGTATCTATTCACTCATAGGTTGATATTTCTCTTTCTTATTTTTAAAGGTGCTAGCAAATGTTCATTATTGTATATTTATGCATCTTGCAACTCAATGATAAACTCTCTCCAGTCATAGAGGGCTGTCGTATAATGAACATTTTGGGACAGGCTCGCACATTAGTTTTGTAATATACAATGTGCTCACAATTTCAAAACACACACACACACACACACAAGTTTCAGTTCGTACTTCGTAGGAGATGCGGAGCCAACATTTTATGAAGCCTAGAAATCTGTTCCTCTTGATTGATATCCTTGAACTCCTCCTGAAATTCCTCTAAACTTCCAAACTGAAAAGCATTTTGATATGAAAAATAGGTCATGCCAACTCTGTGGATAATCATGTCACTCATTTCAAGAATAATAAAATGTAATGCCCATGTTGCAGGGACTAACCTTTCCTGCATCAAGGAAATGCATAAGCATGAAGAGTTCGTCCAAGTTGTTCTGCAACACGAGTTCAATCAGAAATATAGATACATGAAAAATTAGATAGCAGAAATTGCTTTAGATGATCAATTTTATGCTTCATGAGTGGTTATCGATAAGTTTTCTAAAGATCAAACTACGGCAAAAGATCTTGTTTGGATCACAGGACAAGCAACACTCATGATCAATTTGTGATTTGTGAGTAATTATCGATAATTTTTCTGATGATTAAATAAACGGAACTGTTCTTTTCTGGCCCGCAGTAACACCAGAGAGTCATTAGCTTTGCTACACAGATAAGTAGTTTAGAATATTGGCATCAATACAGTAGCAACTCTGGCATGATTACTGAATAATGATAGGTCCATTCCTTATACCCAAGTACATATAATACTAAAAGCGGTTTCTTATGTATGACTTGTCACTGGAGACAGATGCGCAACAATCACTCATTTGAATCAGGTTGAGAGATTTATGTGTACATTTTCCACCAAGCACAAACTAGACATAAACTACACATGTAAATTAGTTCGTAAACTAACTTTACTGAGGGTATTGCACAAACCAAATCATCATTTGCTGTTACATTTATATAAAAACAGAAAGTATACGAGTTAGATGCATAAACAACAAAACTACAGTAGAGTTTCAGCTTAAATCATAATGGAATTACCTGAAGAGGAGTTCCAGTCAAAAGGACACGATGCCTGCTAGAGTACTGCGTCAATGTAGAAAAAAGTTTTGAATCCTTATTTTTAAGACGATGGCCTTCATCAACAATCTGCACAGACATGTTAAGTAATTTTCAAGAGAAATTATAAAATAGACAGGGAAACAGTCACAACTCAAGGGAATGTCAGTTCACCATGCACTCCCACTTTATAGGTTTCAATGACAATGAATCCATGTTGATCATTTCATAAGATGTCAAAAGGACATCAAATTTTATTCTGTCTTGTTTGCTTTCGCTGACAGCTTGACCAGATTTCTTTTTCTTGCTCTTCTTTTGATTTTTAGGGTAATAAAACTCGTGTTCTCTGATCACATTGCGTGCCTGGGCAGTGCCAACATACATCACCTGCAGCAGTTAACTCTTTACTAAGTACATTCCCGATAATATAATGCAACTTCAAACATAAGCATACTCTTTAGCTAATCTTTTCCAACCGAAACTCATGAATACTTACAACATTCATATGAGGAGCCCATGTGGCAAATTCACGTTCCCAGTTCCTTAATGTCGAAAGAGGAGCAACAACAAGATGATGAGATATATTCTCCTCAAACAGAGACGCTAAAAAGGCAATACTCTGTATTGTTTTGCCTGTGAACAAAAAGATTTATAGAAATGGAAATTCTGCTTCATGATAAAGCAAGAGAAAGATAGTTGAAAGGCAGTAAAACTCGAAGGCTAACATATACCAAGTTCCTCGATAAAATATATATATATATATAGCTTACCAAGTCCCATCTCATCTGCAAGTATCACATGTGTCTGTTTGGACCAAGCAAAACGTAAGAAATTCAACCCTTCAAGCTGGTATGGATGCAATGAACCTTGATTTCAATGAGATAATAACAGAGTTAAAAAAAAATAATAAATATATAAATAAAAGAAAAGGACTGATTATGTCAAAATAAACGACTGAATTCGATTTAATAAAGAGACTATGTACCTCCAGATAGAAAATCAGGACTTCTCTCATATTGTTGAAACTCTTTCTGTTTTTTCTTTGGTTCCATGGCATCACGTAGGCTGCTCTTTTGTTTTGATACAGCGACCTTGTCATAATGAGACTGAATTCTGTTAAATTTTTCAATTTCTTTATGAAAGGATGCAATGTCTGACTCCGACTCCCAAGAGCACTCATCATATGGAAGCTCCTTCCATTTCACAAAATATTCTTTCTCTCCATCTATTTCCCTGTATTGAGAATAAAAGCACTCGGCATTAGCAAGATACATTGAACACAACTACAATAATCTGCATAGACCCTGTGATAGAAAATAAATTAATTTCATTGCATTACATTACGATAAAAGAAAATAAAACTCTATTTACTGTAAAAAGACTAGGTCTGGAATGTTGAATAATACAACAACCAGCATGGTGGATTACACCACCATATGGAAGTTTGTATTTGGGCATAAACACATTCCATTGCCAAATAGGCAACCAAACATACAATACCAAAGTTCAGATTCTAAACTCTACTCATGCACTTGACCCTTTTCAATGCAGCTACATATTGGATCCAAGTATAGGACCAGAGAGACTCAAAAGGCAAAGATCTGTCCAAGAATCAACTTTCCAAATTCTAAGTTGGATATCATGGTTTACTCCTCATTTCCTAAACAAGTTGTATGAGCAAAAGAATGTCTCATTTACACTGATATTTCACTTTAAAATTCGATATTACCAGAATCATTCTTCGCCATATAACCAGTTGAATACTACTTAATCTACCAATGTTCGATATATTCGTTGAGTAACCAAAGATTGTCAATAAAAGCCACAATTTATATGTTTCCTCCATAAAGAATATATCAAACAATAACTCGATCCACAGTTGTCCAAATGATTGGTGAGACCTGCAAGCAATAACTCGATCCACAGTTGTCCAATCTGGTCTAATAGGGATATATTCATCCTCAGAAATATTTGAGGACGAAGCTTGTTTGTGGAAATTGTTAACTTTCGTTCTCAATCGAGGATTTGACTTGTACGCCTTAAGAAACTCTGTCTCGGGCACCCTGAAACAATAGTATTATCCAGAATATGAGAATAAATACTGAACATGACAAACAAATTGCGAAAACTTTAGCCCTATTAAAGATACATCTCCACAATCCAAAATCAAACTAGACCTTTGTTTGGCATATAAATGACATTAAAGGTCACTCAACGTTTTACAGATGCCTGAAGAAAAATAAAGTATGTAGTTATACATATAAGAAATAAGTTAAAGAAATTGATATAATGGCTCCCTCCAAATAATTGACAGCTTGAAGTTGCAAATGGTGGAACAACAGGATATATTGCATACTGTCACTTTTAGATAATGCATTCAATTTGGAAAAGGTACCATGCTTTGGAAAACAGTCAATAAAGATTTAAAAAGAAAAGATAGAGAAACTCTACCATGTGCAATGAAGGTAGGACAATCCTTTCCACTTTATTAAATAATGTTTCACGAAAACTTGATTTGATTCCAGCTTCGACGCATCGTTGTTATCTGCAGCACTCGGACGCATCTCACTATCGAGTATTTTCTCGAGCTCATTGAGGTGGCCAACCTGTCAAAGCACATCATCTAAACAAGATTAGGAGACCCAAACCTCATTTTTCCATATTCTGAGTTCTAACTATGGGTTCAAAAGACATACACATTCGGGACATCTCCAGCTGTTAGGAAGAGGACCTTTGAGTGGTGGCAGCAAGCACATAGGATGGTAAGCATAGGTACATGTCTCGCAGCTCAAAATATTATCATCATTTCCACAAGCTTGACAAGAATCTTTCTTCTATAAATAGTATGTGATGAGGCAATGAAATAATGTACGTAAATCAAAACAATTGTATTTATAAAATGTTCCAATTCAAAAAAGGAAGTATAATATATTTATTAATCATCTATGTTTCGATATACAGAGAGATTCACAAGGCCATATCAATTATGCATTAAAATCATAATTATTCAACACCGAATCTTGTGTCTTTCAATTTTGTTTCTCAATTATCCATAGACTTCTATTTGTTGGATCATAGAAAGGGATTCTTGATATCTTTCTATCGTCAAATTTAATATCTAGCTGACGTATAGAAACTGCTATCAGATTTTGTGAAGGTACTTTACATTTTGTTGCTTCTCTTGGTTAATAACTAACTGAAATACGAGAAGGTAAATGTACGGATTACTTAAATTTTCTCTTTCTCCTCATTAATGTAATAGATAAGAACGTAGGTAAATCGCTAGTTTATGGCACAACGGCCAATAAGTTAAAAGAATAATGATATGACACGAAATCTGCCACGTGTACTAACAGGCCAAGTAGGATTATAAAACTTTCACAAGGAAGTGAGAGTTCCTGTCCAAAAACTACATGGTAATAAAAGCACCTTTGTATCAACAAAATATACTTTTATTTAATATCTGCACCTAACAAAAAAAAAACAAACAAACAAATACCGGTGCTCTCCTTACTGAAAACCAGTAGCACACAGCAACAACAAGGAAAGATCGAATGATGCAAAATAATTTGTTAACGTTCTCCAGACCGGACTTGCATAATATGGTTTCCTTTTAGATGGTGTATATTGTTTTGAATCATTAAAGGAATTCCCAAACCAAAGTTGCTGAAATCTCCGAAAATGTGCCCATATCTTCCTTCTAAATCGTACAAAATTAGGTCCCAAAAGCCAGAATAAAGGAAGAAACACATCAGGCCGTTCAATTGTAGCAGGTATACATATGCATGATATAGGGGGGTCAGTAAAAAAGGGGGTTTAAGGAACAAAAATTAAAAAGGGAGGGGGAATCAGGCCGAAAAGAAGAGAAGAATTACCACATCCGGGCGTTCAATTTTCTCAATTTTGTCGGAAGAAGCGCCCGTCGCGGATTTCCTCTTTACGAAGTCAGACTCCTCATCTGATTCATCTATGTTGTAAACAGGCCTTCGATCAGATCGAACCCGCAATCTCTCAACCAAACTCGCCATTTCCTACACAAACAACATGCGTGCAAATTCATGTAAATTTTTCAATCAAAAAATAGAAATCAAAATGGGGGCGGAAGGGTTTACGATTATATGTACAATTGTAGTGCATGCGAGCGGAGTTTCAAGTTTACCTGACAACCACTGTGTGTGTCTGTGGACTCTCAGTCAAAGTGCAGACGAAATTTAAAAAAAACAAAATTGAAACGATAGAGAGATGTGCGCGGATTAGGAAATCGAGACAGCGCAGAGCGAGAATGCAAATGGTGGTTCTATTGTGAAACGGCCACCTGCGGTGTGAGGGGGGACAAAAGTGTACTGCTGCTCTGAATTTATAGTGTGCGAACAAAATCACAAAATTGTATTTTCCAAGCCCTATAATTAATATTATTAAATATTAAATATATTTATTTGTTCCAGCCCAAAACATTTAACCATATGGGTTTTACTTTTTACTTATTTTTTCCAACTTATAATTATTATTTCTAACAAAAAAATTGCAAATACCATATGGTATTATTAATATGCGATTGAGTGATGATTCTTTTGTGGTTACTGGTTACGCTAATAATTGTTTTGGATGATTCTTTTGTGGTTATGCTAATTGATTTGTATAGTGGATAATATTAATGAGTTTTTGTTGGATAAATTAATCATAAATTATCTTTATCATGTAACTATGGAAAATGATTTTATAAAGTTTATTTATTTGGGCATCTACAAAACATCTATTTGGTATAACCATAATAGATTGGAAATACTAATACATACTAAATATTCAAAATATGCTTCTAGTGTCATAGTAATATATATGTATGCATGTATGTGTGTGAGAGTAGTTGTTTGATAGTCCTGATTTATCATTAATCCTTCAACTATCTATTTAATACAATGTACATGTTATCTCACTTCTCAATGTTTATGTCAATATATCCCATACACACATACATACATATACATTGTATTCATTAACTTGATTCATTTGATTCCATAATATTTAATGTTTATTTCTATGCTACACATGATGAATGTTTTACCGTTGATCTATACATAACAATGTCGATGAGTTTGTGTGTGTTTATGCACTTATGAATGATAAAAGATTTGTCCGGTGTATTTCACCCAATGTAGGATAGTATAAAATCATATTCAATCGTACATTTTACACATAACTCGGACTGGAGGGGCAAAAGAATAATATTTGCTTTTTTTTATTTTTTTATTATTACATTCTAGTATCGTGGTGGGCTTTTAAACTACCAAGAAAAATGTTGGTCGTTTATATTGAAGCCCAAATTTGGCTTAAATTGGGGTTGGGCCAAATTTATTGTAAATGTATACACAATTTATTTTATTAAAATGGAAAATAAATTGAATTACTAATACTGTAGAAGAAACCTCAATTATGCAATTAATTACTCCCTGCCCTCCGGCTCCACCCAACAATCTCTCTAAACTCTGACGTCTGAGCTGTCTGACATATTATTATTATTATTATTATTATTATTACTTTCCATCCCCAAAGGCAAAGGCCAAAACCCATCCTTTTTATTTTTCTTGTGATTGATTCCCTGTTTGTTGTCTTCGGTTGAATTCGAGGTCTTCGTTTCTGGTAATCCCTCCTTCCTGGTATGTTTCATCAATATCCGTCAATGGATGGATACCTTTTTTCTTCAAATTTCATGCTTTTTAAACGAGACCATAAGTGCGTGTTCTTCAATTTTTTTAATTCTTTGTAAACGAGAGCATAAGTGCGTGAGTTTCACTGTAATCATTATTATAGTTGATTAACAATTTGAATTTCATATCTGGGAATTAATAATTAGAAGATTTTGTGGTAATTTAAAGGTCTTGGTTGTTGGTATATAATATATCCAATATTTGCAAACAATCCATTGAATCAAAGTGGGTTCTCATGTATACCGGATTTTGGAGTAGTTGGTGAATGATGAGGAGGCTGGTAAATTCTTGTATCTTTTCCCTGGATGATTAAGAATTAGAAAACCCAAGGCTTATACTGTAAGTTGAACACTTGTTCGATTCCTTTTTTCTGCTAAGTGTCCATCATGCCAACTTCAGACACCACCACCACACAGAAATGCTAGAATTGGATGTGTAGACCATTTATTGTTGAGATCCAATTAGAAATAAGACATCAAGATTAGCCCAACTTCAAATTTCTCTAAAAACGATGAACTCATTATCTTCTAGCTATTTTCTCTTAGTCATCTTAAGTTGTGGCTGTTCTTTATTTGGGGACTGTATCCAGGGCCGTATTCGTTTTTAATTGTAAACCACCATGATGCATATAATGATTAAACCTCAGAAGTTAGTAGACTGGGCTTAGAATATTAATATGCTTCTAGTAGTTATTAAGTTAACACCCTACTTTAATGAAACTGATAAAATCCTCTTCTATTAGTCTCAATTTCATGCTTTTAGACCCCTGTGTATCTACCACCCTTAACTTTAGTAAGGTGCTTTTACAATAAGTTATATAAATTATGCAGTTCCGAAGTTGTAGTCCTGATTGTTGGGGAGAATAAGTTGGCATAGGTTCAAGGAAACATGACAAGATGTTCTCGTTTAACTCATTTACTTCCATATATATTGCATCTTGCTGTCACTATAAGTAGTTAAGTACACTCATAGTCGCATATGTCTACTTATTGGACTGCTGATTCCAGATAAAAGTTCTACCGATCTTTACTCGAATGTGTTTGCTAAATTTTCTGTCGGCCAACAATTTCTAATGTTTCTAGTTTCTTAAGTCATGACACTAAAAGTATTGTAACTTACAATGCCAGGTAACAATATCCGTTGAGTACATTCTCCAGGTATTCTTTCTGTTAGCAAGGCCAGGATGTCAGACTTGCCTCGTCGTATGAGAGCTTGCTTGCAGTCTGGGAAACTCGCCATGTTAGCAATTCTTGTGTCAGGGGGAATTGTATTGCAAATACTGGTCCTCTTCCATACTGTGCTTTTAACTGCATTTGGCTTGTTCATTTTTTTGGGTTTTGTTAATTATATCTCTGATTATTTTGATGATGTTTCAGGCATGCGCTCTATACAATAATTGGTGGCCGATGTTAACAGGTCCCTATATACAACTGTTCTTTGCTTACAATGGTTAAAAAATATATAACTTTTTGGCATTTGTTGCTTATGTGGATCTTCACAGCATAGGTCAAAAGCTTTTAGTTTTTTTGAAACGAACATGCAGTTAATTGAAGCTTTCTCCCAAGCCTAGGAAATCATTTAGATGTTTCATATATGTAGAGTTGTGAATGTCTCAGGATTACTCCTTTACCGCCAACTGCTTTTGATGGTAGCCTTTTCCTTTTCGGGATGAGCAGAAAGAACGGTAGTATGAAGAATACGAAAAATGAGAAGAGACTGTTTTAGTTTATATGTGTTTCAAAAGCTTAAAAAAGCATCCAGAGATAATGCATATTGAATTGGAACATTTACTAATTTGCCTCAAACTGCCTTTTGGATTGTGATCGTCATTCCAGGAAGAACAAAACTATATAATCATCTATCACACAGTCGGCAGACATCAGATGTTCAAATCAAAATCTTGAGCTTTCAAATGGTTATGTTAGTAATTAGTGTATAGCAACTCTGAAGTGTAAAAATATAATACATGCGGATTATCTTGCTTGTGTCTTCTAAGTAACTGGCAATTGGATGACAATGCTTCTGTTATTTGTTCAATATGAGGCATATACCGTTCCATAACTTCCTCGTTTGTTTGCATCCTACCATGTATGGATGAAATTACAAAATGTTGATAGTAACAGTTTATCATGACCGTTGTTGTACATTAAAACACTGTCATGACTGTATGTTTAACAGAGGCTTATTGTTCTCGCCTTTAAGACACTAGAAAGTTGGAGATTCTGATTTATTTTATAACATTTCATTGTTTATTTTTTTGACAGTATTAATGTATGTTCTACTACCAATGCCTTTAATCTTCTTTGCTGGGTTCGATACTTCTTCTCTCTACTCCGAGTCAACCAGTGGGTAATTTTTTTTTTTTTTTTTTCTCTTTTCAAAGTGACTGTAGAATTACACTTGTTCCCCACCAAGATTTTTGAGTGTGTGTGACCTCATTGTGATTAGAAACATTTGTAGGCTTATAGTTGGTAACTGAATTGATGTTGCAGTTGGATAGATGCAGCTAAGTTTATGACTGGTGCATCAACAGTTGGCAGCATTGCTATACCAGTTATTCTGAAGCACTCTGGTGTAATTGGTTGGGGAGCATTAGCAATGGAACTCTCATCCTTTTTCGTATTCGCATTGTCTATTTTATGCTACCTTGGTTCGAATGAGGATGATGGCTACACTATGTTTTAAGACTTGGTGCTGCAACCTCCTGCTATTGCTTTTGTTAAGATCCATTGTAATTATTGCAGTTGGTTTCCATCGTGGATGAGCTCTGATTTGTAATATGTTAGTGTAAATTTATCAGCATTCATTTTGCATTCTGTCTACCCTTGTTTGTCAAAGGAAGGAAAAAAAGAATATGTGGGACTAGATAGATATGTTGTGTGTACTATACAAAATATTCTTATGAAGCATATATGTGTATGATGTTTTGTGATGAAATAGTTATTATATGAGTGACAAATCAAGTATTCCTTGTTCCAATTACCATCCAATCCATGCTTCTTTTGGGACTAACAAGTCACTGTATTATTTATTAATTATTGATACAACAGTTATAGCCATGAAATGAATTTAGTTTGTTGGCATAATAAAACGTCATCTTCCAAAAATATTACTACACACACACACAACACACACATCATTTGGATTTCAAAGATTTGATAACCAGACATTTGGACCAAAAATTCAAGAATAAATATTAGATGATGAGATGAGAAAAGAGTTATAATTGAAGCAAGACCTTCCTATTTGAAGAATTAAGTCCGACGGGCGACGACGTTACCTCATCAGCCTCGACAACGCTCCTACTACGAACCCCCCTCGGAGACGACGACAATTCACGACCCTTGTTTCTTCTCTGCCCCGCCACCTTAATATCAACTGCATGTGGCGCGCTACTTGCTCCTCTCTTCATATTCATGATCGACAGCGCCTCAAATCCTCTCCTCAAATCCTCATTCCCCAATTTACCCTCCCGCCTCGGTGGCGAAACCGGTAATCTGGCGGTGAAATTGGTGGTGGTTCCATAGTCATCGTGTGGGGATAGTTGATCGTCATCGAAGTTGAGAGCGTAGCTGAGAGGATCGTAACTGAATTCGGCGGAGGAATGGCGGCGGTGTCGGCCCATGCGAGAGATGAAGTTGCGGCATTTTCCCTTGATCTCCGGCAAATCGCTGGCCTTGGATTTAAACCATGCAGAGGGTGATCTGAGAGGACTCGGGGCGTCAAAGGAGGCGCGGCGGAGGTGTTTCACGGTGGTGCCACTGAAACAACAGGTAATGCCCACCCCGGATTTCTTGCGCCTCACCCTCAAATTACTCATGTCGTGCTCCTCCTCCATTATTATTAATTATCTGATATATGATTATTATATTATCAATAATCGGGATTAAGAAAAAAAGTGGATGGCCAAGTATTGATGATATTTATACTATGAATAAATGTAAAATGTAAGAAAGGGAATGAATTGTGAGATTTTGTATGGTAGAGCCAAATTGTGTATGCCAATCAATGGGTGGGATACAAATACTTCAAATGTTGATGGTGCTTCTTCTTCTTCCTCTTTTTTGTTTTTTTTAATCTACAAATAAAATGTTGATGGTGGTTGTAAATTAATAATAATAATAATAATAATAATAATAATAATAATAATAATAATAATAATAATAATAATAATAATAATAATAATAATAATAATAATAATAATCAATAATAATAATAATCATGATTATTATTGATTATTATTATTATTATTATTATTGATTATTATTATTATTATTATTATTATTATTATTATTATTATTATTATTATTATTGATTATTATTATTATTATTATTATTATTATTATTATTGATTGATTGTTATGTAAATTGAGCCCAAGCCCAATTTAAGCCAGCCAGACACACCCTTTTGTAGCTGGTTAACGAGAGTGGGCCGTTTAATGAAATGAAAATGGGGTTAAACAGGTTCTCTATGTTTTAGAGTATGTTCGTCCTTTGCCCGGTGATTCAATTTCCCCCATCATCTCCGCTGCGTCTCGTAAACAACCAACAACCTCTCTCTCTCTCTCTCTCTCTCTCTCTATAATGGAGCAGGTCCAAACTCTAGAAGCATCTTCTGCTTCTTCTTCTTCCTCTTCTAGTTCCCCGTCTTTGGAAGATTTTATGAAGCTTTTGAAGGGTAAAACAGACTCCCAACGCCTAGCTGGTCTTCTTTTAGTCACTAAGTTCTGCGACAAAAATGATCAACACACCATTCTTAATGTCTATCTCGCTCTTGGCTCCACTTTCCTCCACCGCCTCTTCCTCACTGGTACATACATATCTTTTCACTTTTCCTCTTTTCTTCCTTCTTTTTTATCTATCTATCTATCTATATTTCTTCTATTTATTTCATTTGATTGTCAATTTCGTATTTATTTTGTGGCAGGAATGGGAAGAGGTGCCGTTGGAGGTGATAGCTCCAACCGCGAGGCTTACTTGCGTTTGTCTGTCACGCTGCTTGCATCTCTTGCTAGGGTTTCCCAGGTTGCTGCTACTGACGAAATGGTGTCCAAAATCCCCCTTATTTTGGAGGTTATTTCCAACGAGTATGTAACTCTGCTCTTTTCTCCCTTTCATATGCTTCTGTTGCTGGATTTCATTGAACATTGATCATTTTTTGTCATTTTTGCTGAATGATTTGAGCTTCCGTAATCCACTGATGAAAAGAGTAATGATCTGGTGTACGCAGCTTCACTGTTTTGAACTTCAGAGTTCCCTGCCAAATACATATTTATATACCCCTTTAACATAATCTCCTTCTTGGCAAGCCATAAACCTGATATGTTATTATATTGCAAGCTTGCTGTTTAATTTTTAGCTTGTTTGGTTCATACTGGTAATATGAACTTATTTTGTATGATCCACTGGGCAATTGATTATTATGTGTTTCCAACTACAGATCTGGCTCATCTTTTCGCGAGGAGTGTTATGAATTTCTATTTTTGGTGAGTGCTGCTCGTGAGGATGGGATAATAACTCTGTATGATTCAGGAGGCGTGAATGTTTTGGCGTCTCAAATGGCTACTTTACCAGATGGTAATTAGTTTGAATCTTTTCCGAAACCAATTAATTTGACAAACTATAAAAGGTTATGAAGTGCTTTCATTTCATAGATTTTAGATGTTCCATGCTACATGCTTGTAGTATTTTAGCTTCGTGATATTGGCAATGCTATAATCATTTAAACCAATCCTGATGGTGCTGGGCCATCTCTTAGTCACAAGAGTTGGCTACAGTAATATCCTTGGTGAAGATATATTCTTTCACCTAGTGTTTCTTTGTGAATTGTGAGGGTCTGATGCTGAAAGTGGTGTAGGTTCCCATGTGATGGAGCTTGCAATGAAACTTGTTCAGTTGATTGTCAGCAAACTGCCTGCTGGAAAAGTTCACGTTGATCATCCTTCAGAGCTATCAAATATGGTGATTCTATTTTTTCCTAGCCTTCTTTAGCTCGTTTTTCAGATTGTTAACTTTTTATCCTCACGATTTATTTTGTTTTAATTGAGCTCCTGTCTTTTGGTTGATCCAGGTGGTTGCAATAGCAAAACAGTTTGCTCTGCTGCAGAATGCTTTGAAATTTGACGCGCTTTACCTCCTCTCTATTATATTGTCTTCAAGTTATTCGGTATGGATGTTCTGTTGAATATCTGGAAAAATTTATGTTCAATATAATTCTAAGGTGCATGGTATCAACCTATTTTTTTAGCATTCTTCTTTGAATGGGACTCTGTCCCTGATTTAAGGAGAAAGTGCATGTTGTCCCTGTGATGTGGATACATTTCAATGTTGTGAGGATTTCTACCTGTTACCATGTTCACTAACTTTTGTCCATACTTTTGGAATTAATTTAACATCTTCTTTACACAACCTATAATGCAAATAGAAGATATAGGAATTTAGCCATAATCCTTCAGCTCCAAGTCAGATCACACCAAGACTTACTAGCTTTCCTAAAAAAAATTAGATTGTATTCGTGTACATGTGTCACTATTTGCTGTATATTTGTAGGTGTTATAACGGACTCAAAAAACTGCAATCTTTAAGTTCTATGTTATTCTTTGCCCTACAGAATTAGGCTTGTGTACGAGTTTTACATATGTTGAGATCTGATAACAATGTTAATTAACATCTAACTTTTCGTAGAATATTATGTAGTTTGTACAACATTGTGCCCTATCCAGAGTTTCTTATTGATGTATTTGGTGTTGTCCCCAAATCTATTTCATGAACGATCAGCGTATTTATCGAAGCCTAATTAACTGATAACATATAAGTACAGCCTAAAATTCTTCATCTACGCAATGCATCTATTTTGAATCTTATCGTGGATTTTACCTGATCTTTAGGGGCCTGTACATGCAGTGCTTCAGTCAATGACATGTGGTGAATGGTCAACTTGCATTCGTGTCGGTATCATGGATGTTCTACAGAATCGAGTTGGTACGTTTACTTGAAATTTTACTTATAGTATGAGTGAGTGAGATGCAAATATCAAGTGTTTTTCCAAATGCAATATGGAAACCATTATATTCAACCAGAAACGGAGTAGCTGAACTGTCCAACACTTGTTTTATGGTATGCTTTCTTTATTTGGCTGAAAAGTCGTGGGGACATGTTCTCTATATTACTTAGAAAGAAATGTCATGTCTACCGTGCATATATTTCCGTAGGAATCTCATTTTTTGCGTCTCATCTGCAGCTCCTGCTGAGAAACTTCAGGCTCTTGTTCTTGCTGAGTGCGCTATGTCCATTGCTGGCGAAGAATGGCTCATTGGATCAACGATCTTACCTTTTGCACATAATTCTTTCCCTGATAACCGGTGAGTGATAGAAGTCAGAGTTCGGATTTTCATTTTGTTCTTCTGATCTATTTTTTTGTGTGAAATATTTGGTTAGTTTACGTAGTTATTTTCCTTCTTGTCTTTCTCCAGGTGCATACTACTTGTTTTGGAGTCATCTAGGGTTGAAATTGCTGTTATCTTAAATGAGCTAGCATACTTAAAATATGAAGCATCTAAAAGTTCACCTCCAAATGCTGAAACATTTCTCGTAAAGCTAAGGAATCTTGGTGTTGCCTTCTCTTTGGTAGAAATGATTATAAAACTCATCTCAAAATTTGGAGGAAATGAAGGTATGTCTTCATATATTTTACAAAGCCTCTAGTGTGTGCTGCTCTCTCTTTCTCTATATCATGAAAGGAAGAGTTCTACAATCTTATTATTTTATTTTGTTCAAAGTCAAATGCATAGCATTATACTTCTATTAGGTTATTTGAAGGACTTCGATTTTTGTGGCCTGAACATAACAAAGTTGCATATAAACAAGATAAATGAATAGAGGTTGGGAGGTGTCTAAGGGAAACCGATGGGTACTATATTAGCTGACAACAGAAATCTCTTGCAGAATCAATTTCAACTTGCATACTTACTGAAAGCACTTTCACCAAGATCATTGGCGGGCTCAATGAGACAATTGGTGTGGTCCTTGAATATTTGCATGATGCGAAGGTAAGATTATCTCTTTGTATGAAACAATAGAGTAATAGATGAACCTACATATTCTTAGATTCATGTTTTATGCAGGATCATGGGGATAGAAAAGGGAATGACCTTTTAGCTTCTGTCAGAATAGTTGGGAGGTACCTAATCTACTCACTGCTTATTAGTTATTTGTTGACTTTAATTAGATGTAACTGGATTATTCTTTTTGTTGGACTCCCTCATTTCTTCTATATATGGTTCTATGATGCAAGTGTTTAAAGCCCTTCTTTATAAAAGTAGCCCATTTCACTGAAAATACATAATGCAAGTACTCATTGGTTGTACATGTCTCGAATAAAGTTCCAGAATGAATGGGCTATCAACTATCAGAGAGATACTATTTTTTATGATACTATATTAATGTTCTCAATGGTTACTTGGCATGATGGGGGTGGAAACTGATTTAAGATTGTCATGATTCTCAATATTGTAACTGGAATGTTGTTTCAGCTATCTTGCAGAAGCACCTAGTGCATGCAAAGAGAAGATCAAGGAACTTCTTGGTTATATGCTATGTGTTGAAGGGGAGGATGAGTCTAGGTTTGATACATCTCTTGATACCAAAGTTACAAGAAAAATGTTCGAGCCTTCCGGTTCTTCATAATATTGACTAACCTTTTTGATTGGCTTCAAATGGCAGCAGCCCTTTTCAGTCCGTCTCCTTTTTGCTCCCTGTGCTGTGCCAAATAACAATGGACAAAGATGGATGTGAAATATTTGTCTCAGCTGGGGCATTCAGAGCTGTAAGAGAACACACTTTTTAAATATTTTGGTGTATAATATTTTTTTGTTGATATATTTTCAGTGATAAACTTGCATTAAACACGCACAAAATGTTTACAAGATAGTAACATTTTCAAGAATGCATTGCATGTGAAACTTACGATTATTTACTTTTTTTCGGTTTTTTTTTGGCAGGTTGTTGGTTGCATTATTTCTTTAATTGATTCAAGCCATTCTAAAATTGATAGCAGTACCATATTCTTGGCATGTGATACAATTTTGAATCTTCTTTTAAAGGTATAACCTTTTGTTAAACTTTAACGTGAACATGGGTGGTCTATGTACTGGAACTCAACATTTTCTTCCATGAACAGAGAGAGGAAGTTGGATTTTCCTTGGACAATCTTTGTTATGTGGAGCTTTTGCAGGCATTGTCACGCTGGACAGGTGACTATCTTAAACAACGTCTTTTATTTTAAATGTTGGTAGAGATGACTATCTGTTTGATTGTACATTTTGTTTGGCATGTATATTTTCTTTTAAAATATACAAGCCAAGAAGAAAAAATAAGTTAAGGAGATAGGAAAAACAATGAAGGGCTCTAGATCTAGGTGAATATACTATTAAAAAATCATGGACAGAGAAAAACATTAATGACATGGTAAAAGTACTGTGGTTGGTGGGAGGCAAGGCATAACGAAAACATTATTTGGACTTGAGGATCCATATATCTTTGAAGTATTCAGTGGTGAACTCAAAATTAGAACAATTCTAGTTGTATTTTGTCTTGGTTAGATTAGACAATCATTGCGTATAAGTTATTTTCCCCGTTATGGGCATCAAGTGTCTCTAGGGAGCAGGAAAAGCAACTTCGATTGGGCGCTACTGTTAGAATAAAGGCAAGCAAAAAAGAAATAAAAGGAAAAAGGTTTGTCTGCCTCTGAGTTGAATTTCGAATGAGATATCGGATTTTTTGTATCACTATATACAGTCAAGAGGGAAGTTTTATGACTGACAAAGACTTTGGAAATTTAGGCACCTTCTACAACTCAAAACAATTGTCAACTAGACATGTTTTTGTTCAATTCTATAACAGTTCTAGTTCGATAAAAAAAATATATGATGTTAAAGAAAACATATGGAGATTAATAGTTGTATCATCCATGCAATTGAGAAAGATGCTGCTCCTGATTTTGGAGTGATGTTGCATTGGGACTTGGGAAAATTCATAGTTTCTTTGTTTTTTGTTAAATGTTTGTGAAAAGATGTTGACATTACATACACTTGATCACATACCTTAAGTTTTCCTTTGACTGATTTGTTTGGTTGTAGAGAAATTCAATGAATTCCTTACATTTTAATGCAGAGGATACAATTGACACATCTGTTATCATGATGGCATCAAGCATATGCTCATTAATACTGGATACAACTTGTGAGGAAGCTCTTTTATGCCATCCAAAATTTAAGCCCGACAACCTGATTGCTCTATCACAGCTCTTGAAGAGAAGTTTGGTTACATGTGGTCAGGTAACCTCCGTGGTCACTTGATTAAAAGTAGAACATATTTATCCGTTGTTTGTGAGATATCAAACACAAATTCGTTTTCTTAAAATAAAAAAATATGCAGGAATTGATGTCTGATGATATCAACACCAACACGGAGGCTGATCTTTATCAGATAGTGAGCTCAGGTATGTATGTATGTATGTATTTATGTAAGGTAAGTCTTGTGTGGAATAAAAATGTTGGTTAAATGTGATTGAAATTGGATGCAGGATATTCTTCTTGGGCAGAACGGTTTCCACATGTCAAAGTAGTAGTTGAGGGAGGAGCAAATTTTGTGAGACGATCATAATAATGGCGACAGTTTAGTTGGTTGGAGAAAGTGATAATTGTACAACCATGTATGTGTATGTATGTATGTTGAGATGAGCCGATGATGTAATGCAATGATAGTTGGCAGAGTTGTTTAGATGGTTTATGGTTTTAGTACATGTTTATAAGAAAAGTTTAATTTGATATACGAGTGTTGTTTCATTAAAAAAAAATATATGACAAATAATTTTCTTACTAAATATATCACTTTTTAGTTTTTATTATTAATTTGTATACATATCCCAGAAACTGTAGAGAATCATTCAACCACCCTCATTTCCAATGTTGAAGTTTAGAAAATGTCAATTTTAATATAATGAATTAATTGATAATTACCAAGTCTTGGTAATAACTGGGTACACTTCAATAGACATTTCCACATTCACAATAATAAAATGGAAAAAATAAATAAATAAATTATTCCCAAGTAGATTTTCAGTCAACTCCGAAGCAAAATAATTAGCCTAAAAAATCGGAAGCAGAAAAGCAGTGTACAAGTCCTTAACCATCAATTAATCAGTTGACAAAACACAACCTAAATTCCCCGGCGGCGAAAATGGGGGGTTGTGGGAATTTGTTCTTCACTCTGGTAATCACATTTTCAGCAGCACTCATCACATATAACATCATCATATCTGCAAATGCGTCTCTCAAACAAGAATTTCCAGGCCTTTCAAACCCTTCTTCTTCATCAATCAAATTCAAATCCTTCTCTGTTGACCCCATCATTAAAATGCCCACAGAGTTGCCGAGCTCGAAGAAGAAAAGAAAAAGGCTTTTCCATACAGCGGTTACTGCTTCGGGCTCGATCTACAACACGTGGCAGTGCAGGGTGATGTATTACTGGTTCAAGAAACAGAAAGATGAGCCCAACTCCGACATGGGTGGCTTCACCAGAATTTTGCATTCTGGGAGACCCGACACATTCATGGATGAGATCCCTACTTTTGTTGCTCAGCCTCTCCCCGACGGAATGGATCAGGTTTCCAACTTCCAACTCAATTCTTTTTTTTTTTTTTTTCTTGAATGATTGTAAAAGTGCCTGTTGGTTTTGGTCATATTGTTGAGGGTAGGTACCTTTTTAAGCTTTTGAGAAAGATATATCACAATCATAGTCCATGCTCATCACAACTTAGAAAAGTAATCATGGTCCATACTCGAAACTGATTCGACTTCTCATTTTACAACAGGGGTACATTGTCCTAAACAGGCCTTGGGCATTTGTGCAATGGCTTCAGCAAGCAGATATTCAAGAAGAGTATGCTCTCATTTTTTTCAAACATGGCTTCTTATGTTCTTATCAATTTCTGCTGTGAAATGAAACTATTCTCGTGTATATGCATGCAGCTATATATTGATGTCTGAGCCAGACCACATCCTAGTCAAACCCATTCCCAACTTGTCAAGAGATGGCCTCGGAGCTGCATTCCCTTTCTTTTACATCGAGCCTAAGAAATACGAGACCGTGCTGAGGAAATTTTTCCCTGAGAAATATGGACCAATAACTAACGTTGATCCTATTGGAAATTCCCCCGTGATTGTAGGAAAGGTACAACATGTACATACTTGCTGCATTCCTGTAAGGTTGTTGGCCTTGTCTGACTATCTATCTTTTACCAAATTAAATTAGGAATCTCTGAGAAAGATAGCTCCAACTTGGATGAATGTTTCTTTAGCAATGAAGAAGGATCCGGAAGCAGATAAAGCTTTTGGATGGGTCCTTGAGATGTAAGCTACAGTAGTTGTACACTCTGTGTTATTTTGATGTTCAACTACTAAGTTTTGTTATGAAGAATGCTTCTGGAAAGTGTAGGTATGCATATGCTGTTGCATCTGCATTACATGGCGTGGGTAACATTTTGTACAAGGAATTTATGATTCAGGTCAGGCTAGTAGTTCTGTTTAAATGATGTCTTTTATATATACATTATAAAGTTGAGATTATGTGACATTTGTGATTTGTTGGAATTCCCGGCAGCCTCCTTGGGATACGGCAATTGGGAAAGCTTACATAATTCACTATACATACGGATGCGACTATGATTTGCAGGTATGTTGTTTCATCCTATCTTAAAATAATTATGTTGCAAGTTTGATTACTATATATGGGAGAGCTACTACGGTATCAGGGAAAGTTGACATATGGGAAGATTGGAGAATGGAGATTTGACAAGAGATCATATGACAATGTATGGCCTCCAAGAAATCTTTCTATGCCGCCAAATGGTGTCCCAGAAAGTGTGGTATGTTGTTATTTTTAATTTGGAAATGGTGCAAGTAGATAGGTATGTATATATTGTGATTGATGAACATGAGATGGTACAGGTTACGTTGGTGAAAATGGTGAATGAAGCCACTGCCAATATTCCAAACTGGGGTTCCTAGATTCAACAAGGAGATGTTCATCAAATCCTTGTCTTAATGTCCGTCTCCCAATTATCTCGTTTATCATTGAAAGAAGATTGATCCATCCATCTTGTTAACCTATAGACTTGAAGATTATTGCATTGCCAAGCTGCGGTCTCAAAGCTTTCAATAGCAACAGCATTAATTTGCGGACTTTTCAAATACCAATTTTTATCTAGTTGTACTAGCACATGTTTTTTTTATTTTTTTTGACAGTAGCTAAGATGTTTGAAATATATATACATATACATATATATATATATATATATATATACTTGAAGAGACTTGTGGGTGGTGATGAGCAGCCTAGCTTTGTGTTTTGTTGCATCATCATTAGCTTCGTGTTTAGGAAGGAAGTCCGATGCTCACAATAATTTCACAGATAATATTTTGATTTGTTCAACTATTTTAAGTCAATTCATCAAAAAAAAAAATTAAGCCGGACAGCATACCACAATTTTCAGATGGATTAGATATGGTGAACCAAGACAATCTCTTTTGGCAGAACTACTATAAACTTAAGCCAGAATAAAATATTTTACTTGACTGATTCTATCTTCTCATTTCTCCATAGCAAGGTTGTACAAGTCAGCTCTACTCAATAACCCCAATTACCATCCCAAGAAATTAATCTTATACACACAGTTGGTTAAGACCCCATACGCATATTAATAATCCACCATTAAATGCAGATGAAGAATAAATTCCATACCCAATTTTTAAAGTAAAAACGAAAAGGATAAATAAAGTAGCAATAGTAGAGTACCAATTCAAAAATACAAAACTTAAGTTGTCAATGCAAACTGAAAGACAGTAGTTCCAACATAAACCAGTAAAAGTCTAAAAAACCCAATCCTTTCAAAAACTGTTTTTAATACTTAAACAAGAAACTCAGGTGCCCCAACTCACATCCCTGTAAAGGCCTTCTTCCCAAGACCAGTTGACCTGCTGGATTCACCTTCAGAACATTAAATCTCACCGTCTTCGACAAGGGCCTGCAATACAACACATAAATCCATTAACAGTCATATAAATTCCACAAATTCTATTACAAGTGCATCTTGATAAATGAAAATGTTGCACTAGCCTGCACTGGCCAATGGTGACGTGATCACCCTCTTTCACACGGAAGCATGGAGATATGTGCGCAGGAATATTTGAATGCCTCTTCTCATATCTACAAACCACAATGAAACAATTATAAAAATAAACACTCAAAAAGAACGACATATATTTCACTGAAAGGTATATATCATACCTCTGGTATTTTGACACCCAATGCATGTAGTTCCTCCGAACAATGATGGTTCTCACCATCTTTGCACTGTGGCAGGTCCCAGCAAGAATACGGCCGCGGATGGATACATCACCAGTGAACGGGCATTTCTTGTCAATGTACGTGCCTGGAGATAAGACATATTCAATCATCAATAGAATGTAAGGAGAAGCAAACCCATGAATGCAACACATCAATGTTCGGTGAAAGTTACAAGATCAACTTTTTGTACTATCGGATTTATTTCATAAAAATCAATGTAACAAGAAAATAGTAAGAAGGTTAAGTTCAAGTAAACAAGAAACATTTTGTTTTAATAAGAAGGCTGCAAGAATCATAAACATAAATCTATAACATTATATTATAAAGGAGCTTCAGTAAATTGCCCATGTGTCCGTCTGTATGACGGCATACTTGCATTATTGCACCACAAAGGAATTACACTAGAGTAGAAAATATCATAGAAAAGTTAAATTAGTGGTTAAACCAATGTAACAGTTTCCAGAATGATAGCTCGATAGTGGAAAAGGGACTAATTTAGGGATATTAAATGTTAAATATAAAATCAAACGAGATATCGAAAAGAGCATGTTAAGTGAATAAATTAAGCTAAGAGCCACAAACATGGCTGAGTATAACACAAAAGCTGTAAAAGTTAGACAAAGTGGGTACCAATCCAAATAATACAAAGATATATATCATAACAAGATGGCAAATATAAATACAAAGGAAATGAGAAAATGAATTAGAATAAACAAAAATGGACCTTCAGAAGCCTCGCGTGGTGTCTTGTATTGTAACCCAATGCTCTTAAAGTAGCGATTTCCTCCCTTTCCAGGGGTCTTACCCTTGCCTGACTTCTTTGAGCTACAAATACAATAATCAGATTTAAAATATGAAGAGCATTTCAAAATCTAAAACAAAAAAAACCTTGTCATACAATCAAAAACAAACCAGATAATTTTAATAGAGAAAACAACACAAAGTTTGGTGCATTTCTTAGTAGATCGAGAAGAAATATAAATTTTATGGTAGAAACACAGTCTGCTTACCAAAGGAAAACCTTAGGCTGCTTGAGGAAGGCCTTCTCAGTCTGCAATTAGTATAAGGATTAAAATCGACGACTCGTAAACAAAAATGAATGAAAGAGAAAGAGAGGGATGTTTGATCTAATAAGAATAACCTGTTCCGCCATGGCTGCGAGTTTGTGAGAGTGTGTGAGAAAAGTGTGTGAGAAAGTGGAGAAGCAGCAGCAGCAAAAACCCTAGATTGTAAGGCGGAACCCAAACCCGTATATATATATATATATATATAATATAGAGAATTAGATATACAAGTATGAAATGTCATATAGAGTCCATTTGAAGGGTAAGGCCCATAAAGGCACTAACTAATTGGGCTTTTTGGGTCATAACATAACTAAGAAAGCCCGTAATAATAAAATATATATATTTATGGTCATGACATGATGAACAGGATCCGTGTGTTTTCCTGAATTAATTGTAGAGAATATATATTTGTAATAATAATAATATGATAAATGTGGATAATAATAATAATAATAATAATAATAATATATATATGCATCGTTCAAATTAAGTGGAAGGAGTTAGAATGAACAAGGTTGGTTGGGCATTGTATTGTATTGCATTAATTTAGTAGGGAGGGCAATTAAGGTGTGATTTGATGGGGCGGAGGATTAGGTCATAAAATGTAGAAAGAAAGAAATAAAGAATTTAACAAAGAAGGTACGTAAGAATCATTGAAAATTTATCTTCTTCTTCTTGTTTCGTTTTCTTTATTAATAATAAAAAACTGAAATTTATTTTATGATTAGAGAAGAAAAAGATAATGCATGTGTCTGTAATTATTTGCAGAAATAAATGAAAAAAGGATAGAGAAGACTAGGCATTATCTGTCATGTAGATTGGGCAGATGATGGACAGAGAGATAATATATTTATTTATTTATTCTTTTAAATTAATTTTGTTTTTAATTTCTATTACAAATTTGTTATTGGATTACTTTACCTGGCTGGCTGTAACCAAATTTGAATCATTTGTTTAGGTGAAGAAGAAGAAGAAAGAGTAAAGTAACTGCCGATATTTTCATTTCTTCATTTGATTTTGATTTTGATTTTGATTTTGATTGACCCCACTCACTCACTCACTCACTCACTCAATATATCTCTTAATTTCCATGTATATAAATATATATATAATTTATTAATATTAATGCGAGCAGCTTGACAAATATCACCTAATCCGGATAAAAACTTGAATGCTATTACAGGTTATTGCCAAACTCTACTTCTTATTGACACACTAATATATATAATTTCTTCATTATTAGTAATTACATATAGTTATATATATATAAATATAATTATCCCCCCTAAAAGGCATAAACAACCCACTCTGTTCCCGACATACAATATTCTCCCTCTCCTCGGCTCTGCTCTGCTCTATCATCATCAGAAGAAGAAGAAAGCATGTTAATCATGTTCAGGGCTGTGCAGCTTTTGTCCGTTGTCACTACTAGTTTTCTTTTTCTTTCAAACATACCATTTTCATCTTCATCCCAACACTCCCCCCCTTTTCCCACTCATCACACATCATCGGGTATTTTTTTTTTTCCAATTAATTAATATAAATAAAGTAAAGTTGTGGGTGGGGTGGGTGCTCATTGGTGATTTTGATTTGTGCAGCAGAGTTGAAGAGCGGGAGGGTGGTGCTTGAATTAATGGTTAATAGGGGTAGAAGAGAGAGATTTCTCAGTGGTGGTGGTGGTGATTCGGAGGAACAACTAAACTCAAGTCTTCTTGTTTTGGCTGCAAAGACAACTTACAGGAAAGATCCACTCAATCATTTTCACAAGTACACTGGTGGTTGGAACATCAGCAATCCCCACTACTGGGCTGTCAGTCTTCCTTCCTTCCTTCCTTCCTTCCTTGTCTAATTTTAATTTCATTTTTTGTTTTTTAAATGAATGTTTGTTGTTGTTGTAGTCTGTAGCTTACACTGCTGTTCCATTTTTCTTTATTGGGGCAATCTGGTTTGTGGTGTTCGGCATTTCCTTGACTCTCATATGTCTCTGCTTCTGTTGCTGCCGAAAGGAGCCCTACGGCTATTCTCGAATTGCTTATGCCCTCTCCCTCATTCTCCTCACACTCTTCACAATTGCTGCTATGTATTCTCTCTCTCTCTCTCTCTATTTTTGTACATGTAAAACACATTTAACTAACTAATGTTTGGTCTGCATTTTCAGTGTTGGATGTGTTGTGTTGTACACGGGGCAGGGGAAATATCATAGCAGTAGTATGAGCACTTTGGAGTATGTTGTACAGCAGGCAGACACCACTTCCGAGAATCTTAGGAATGTGTCTCAGTATCTTGCTGCAGCCAAGCAAATTAACGTTGATCAAGTCTTTCTTCCTTCTAATGTCCAATCCGACATTGATCTCATCCAGAACAAGATCAACTCTTCTGCTAACATACTTTCCTCTCAAACACAAGATAATTCTCATAAAATCAAGAATGTCATTGAATCTGTGTATGTCTAAAACCCCCCTACATTTTGTCCATGTTTGTTTGTTCATCACCTATAAATATTGTATTGTTGCAGGAGGCTGGCTCTTATCGTACTCTCTGCTGTAATGCTTCTTTTAACCTTCCTCGGATTCGGTATGCTTATTCGTCCTATTTCTCATTGCGAGAAAATTATGCAAAACTTGTTTTATCCTTAATTCTCACTTTGGGATCTCTCATATTTTCAGTGTTTTCAATCTTTGGAATGCAGTTTCTTGTCTACCTGTGAGTTTACATAGCATAAGTGATTCATTGTACTCTATTGTCCGTATCATGCGTAATGAAATTCATATGTTATTACAGGTTGGTGATTGCTGGATGGATTCTTGTGACTGCAACATTCATATTGTGTGGCATTTTTCTTCTTCTCCACAAGTAAGTTCAACTATATCATCCCTATATACCCACCAACTATATATTGCCTTGTTCATTGGATTAATTAATGCTCTACTTAATTAAAGTGTGACTGGAGATACATGTGTGGCGATGAGTCAGTGGGTCGAAAATCCAACAGCTCACACAGCACTAGACGATATACTGCCTTGTGTGGATAATGCAACCGCACAAGAGACATTGACTAAGAGCAAGGAAGTAACATCACAACTAATCAACTTAATGAACACCGTAATCACTAATATATCCAACAACAATTTGCCCCCAAACGTGGCCCCATTCTACTACAATCAATCTGGTCCGCCTGTCCCAAACCTATGCAATCCGTTCAATCCTGACCTGACCGATCGAGCTTGTACACCTGGCGAAGTGGATCTCAGCAACGTTACACAGGTATCTATCTAATAATAAAATGGGTATTTTATATTGATTGAAGAAGAATATTATTATATATGGTTTCAAATATAATAGATGCTTATGTGTTAATTTGTTTGGAGGTTTGGAGCGGGTATGTGTGTGAAACGTCAGGAAATGGGGTATGCGTGACAAAGGGTCGTTTGACAAGGGATATGTATAGTCAGATGAGTGCAGGTGTGAATGTGAGCTATGGATTGTACAAGTACGGACCGTTTTTGGTGAATCTTGAGGATTGTACATTTGTGAGAGAAACGTTCACGGATATAAACGGGAGGTATTGTCCTGGGCTGAGAAAGTACAGCCAGTGGATATACATTGGGCTTGTGATGGTTGCTACGGCCGTCATGCTGTCTCTCTTGTTCTGGGTCATTTACGGCAGAGAGAGGCGCCACCGAGTCTATACCAAAGAGCACATGCCACACCACCCTGCAGGTTTTCAAGCAGACAAATAATATTCTATATATATATACATAATCCTAGTTATATACATATGCGTAGCAGCTGATGAGCTGCTGCTGTAAATACTTACTGGCCGGCTGCTGCAGTTTGTAAATGAAACAAAGTAATCTGAAATTGTTTTCCCTGTCCTCAACTATTTTATATATATATATATATATGTTATTTTGTAAGAAGAATAAACGAAGATAAGATGGAATTAATAATATGCAAGCTAAGCGGTTTATTTTCTCAATTATTTATCCCCACCTGGCCCGATCCCATTATTTATTCATGCTATATATCTTGCTCACTATGGTGGCAAGGGTTTCGTAAACCAAATATGTTACCCAATTCATCTATTTAATCAATTAAACGTAATAGTGGTAAACGAACAAATAATCCATGAGTGTATATGTATGAGCAATAATAATAGAATTAATCAAACATTTGATCCTTGATCTACGCCGCTTGATACGAGTAAATTGATCATATCAATATTATGTATGGTTGTTGTTGCTGATAAATGATAATTAGGAAAAGTGTGTTGTTTCTTATGCACTAGTTGCAGTACTAGCTAGCGCACATGCGTGGCTGAACTGGGCCGTTAATCCCAACAATTGGAGTACTATTATACTATTATAATATTTATCATCAAAGTGGGCGTAATATAACTACTGATTATTTATTTTCTTAGTCTTATTATCATTCATGAGGTATGTTAGGTTGGGTTGGATATGATTGACAGTTGTCCATGACAGTTGGGGTATTTAATATTTATTACTGGCATCCTTTCATTGATACACACAGACCACAACCCCTG